TTTTCACAGAGGGATAGGGACTAGGTCAATACTTTTACTCAGAAGTTATGAGACTGGCCTGGCTACACTAGTGTTGTCTTTAAAAGGTCAAGGCATGCTTCCTCACCTTACAGGACAGTTATTATGCACACAGAAGAAACTGCTGTCCTTAACCACTACTGGTCAGAAAGAGGCTTAGAGGATAGAGGACGACTGGTTCTGTGCAAGTCTTTCCTAACTGAGCCAACAGCCGGCAGTGACCATCCCATTTAGCGAGCCCTTTTAGATGCCAGCAAGAAAGAAGCGGGAGACAATGTGGCCAGCCAGGCAAGACTCCCAACCTCGAGGAACTCCTAGGCCTTTGAAACAAACAATAGACAACTATACTTTGTATTTGAAATATGGTATATATCATTTTACTGGCAAGGGGAACATCTGAAAGGAGACTGAGGGATCTTTTAGGAAGTTTCAAATGAAACAGAGGAGATACAGATATAAGGGAGAAAATTCACAAGAACACACACAGAAGATTATCCCTGCTCCCCTTGCCCTGTTTGGTTCCCCCTCGACTCTGGGTAAGGTCATTATTATGGCAGCGTTCTGATTGGTCTCCTTGCCACTCTGATCAGTCCCCCTCACAGCTTCCAGAAACAGATCTCTAAAGTGCATGCCTAATCTTGGGAGATTCCCCCTCACCTTCGGCCCAGGGTCCTCAGCAGGACATTTAAATGGTCTCCCACACCATTCCTGCCTCTTCTTTATGTCAACCACTCCAAATCTAGTCATGCCTTCAGCCTCCCTCACACAGTGCTGCTCCACACCTCTATGTTTTTTGCACATGCTGTTCCCTTTGTAAGAAAGTCCTTCTTCTCCTTGTCTGCAGGGAAACGTATTTGTCTTATGATGTTCACCTCCTCTATGCATACTTTCCTAAAGCTTCCAGATAAAATCCCACATTTCCTCCTCTGTACCACTTTGGAATTTTGCTCATTTTTCTATTTTTCCATTACTGCTCTATTGTGTTTTGGAACAAGCAGCTTATTGACCTAGGGAAACATGATGTTTTGTCTATCTTGCTTTGACTCAATACCTAATATATAATGCCTGGGTAATCATTCTGTATCTTTTGAGTTAAGTGAAGCTCAATAGAAAAAAGCAAACAACCCACTGAGACCATATAAAGTTATAGTCACAAACATTAAGATGTTACAGCCATAACTAGGGTGACAGGAATAACAACAGCCATTTATTTAGCACTTACTCTATCAGGAATTGTGCTAAGCTCTTTATAACAATCATTTCCTTTAATCTTTATAACAACTCTTAAAGTGGCTATTCGTATCTCCACTTCACAGATGAGAAAACTGAGACACAGGTAAATTTTATAACATGTCCAAGAGCAATGCAGACAGAAAGTGACAGAGCTGAAATTCAAATCTAAATCTGACATCAAAGCCCTGTATTGGACACTAGAAGAGCTGACGAATAAAATAAGTAGGAGTTTTTTTTTTTTTTTTTCATTGCAGAAATAAGTAGGAGTTATGTTCCTATTGCTTGTTAGGCACAGAGTGAGGGAAACAGCACATCTACCAAGTTGTATAAGAAAAAGTACATATAAAGCAGTAAATGCAAAGTAACATATATCACTATGCCCTAATACCTTAGAAAGAATAAATCAGGAAAGACCTAAAGAAAGTAAATATTAAAGAAGGCTGAGCGATGCATCAAGGCAGGAAGAAAAGCCTGTGTGAAAGAGTAAAGACAAGAACAGTGGAGCTACCTATGTGAAGTCTGGCAGATGAGGACAGGCAGGGGGCAACTGGTAAAAGGTAACTGATGAAAGCAACATCAGTTCCTGCTTTGAGTGATAACTGTGTCATGATGAAAATAACAAAGTAAAGATTATGTGTAGTTCAAAAAAAGAAAGGAAGAGAGAAAAAGCTTTCAGGATTTCCCCCTCTCCATTCTAAACATACCTAGGTGTTTGACTTTCATCTTTAGTACTTTTCTTTGTTTTTTTTTTCCATTTATTTTTATTAGTTGGAGGCTAATTACTTTACATCATTGCAGTGGTTTTTGTCATACATTGAAATGAATTAGCCATGGAGTACTTTTCTTATGGTCACATTTCTATCCCATTGGTGTTAGTTTTTCCATCTTTTTGCTAAAGGGTACACTTTCCAAGGGCAAGAACCATGTCTAAATGAAACCGTAAACTCTTTCAGTGCTGGTTGCAGTGTTTGAAAATTCAGTGTACGTGATTAACATTGAACATCTGTAATGCTGGTGTTTGTATGATGAATAGTTTAGTCGGGCTAAGATTTTACTCTTAAAATACTAATTTCCAGGGAGGCATACTTCACCATCTTTGAGTGCTATACATTCAGACTGTGAAACAGTAAACATATTACGATTGACCAGCAAGAATTTACTGTAGGCTTCTCAGGTGGCGCTAGTGGTAAAGAATCCGTCTGCCATGCAGGACACATCTGCCAAGATGTGGATTCCATCCCTGAGTCAGGAATATCCCTAGGAAAAGGAAATGGCAACCCCCTCCAGTATTGCCTGAGAAATGCCATGGACAGAAGAGCCTGGCGGGCTACAGTCCATGCGATCGCAGAGTCACACACGACTGAGTGACTACGCACAGCATAGAACGGACTGAGTACCTTAAGAATGGTATGAAAGAAGTGAGACATGCTCTTAACATAAGAGCTCCTTACCAACAGTTGGGGAGCCAGAACACTCAAAAATAACCTTAGGAACATACCAGTAAGTGGAGAATAAAAGTAATAGTGTGAAAGTAAATGCTTAAGTCCTAAGGGGATACAAAAGGAGAATAAACAGGAGCCCTTTCCAAATAAGATCTTATGTACACTTCAAACTAAGTTATTCAAAGATATCTATAGTAAAGACTAAAAGCTAAAATAATAAAAACAAAATACCAAAAGCTGTCTGCCTTAACACCAGCCCAGAATATCTCCTTGGTGGCTCAGATGGTAAAGAATCCGCCTGTAAGGTGGGAGACCTGAGTTCGATCCCTGGGTTGGGAAGATCCCCTGGAGGCGGGCCTGGCAACCCACTCCAGTATTCCTGCCTGGAGAATCCCAAGGACAGAGGAGCCTGGCGGGCTGCAGTGCATGAGGTCGCAAAGAGTCAGACAGGACTGAGGGATTAAGCATACAGAATATCTCCAAGGAGAGTGCTTAGCTAAGCGTCTGGAACTTCAATCCTTCGGAGTCCTCTGTTTAGCACATCAATCAAATGTTTGCCTGATGCTGCTTTGTTCTTAATCTCAGCTCCAGGGGGAAAAAAAATCTCCATTTTAGCTAGCCTCAGGTGACACTGGGGTCCAGAATCCTAAATTAATGACTGAGCCTGCCTGGTTCCCACCCAGGCGCTCCGGGCAAGGCCTTGGTCCTCTCAAGGCTCTTCAGCGAGGCTAAATCCTCAACGGGCTTCCTTGTGGCTCAGCTGGTAAAGAATCCGCGTGCAACGCGGGAGACCTGGGTTCGATCCCTGAGTTGGAACATCCCCTGGAGAAGGAAAAGGGTACCCATTCCACAGTCCATGGACTCGCAGAGTTGGACACGACTGAGCGACTTACACTCACTCACTCAAATCCTCAACGTCTGCTATCCACTTCCCAGCCTTTAAACTCTTCTAGCCTTACATCGCGGAGAAGGCAATGGCACCCCACTCCAGTACTCTTGCCTGGAAAATCCCATGGATGGAGGAGCCTGGTAGGCTGCGGTCCATGGGGTGGCTAAGAGTCTGACATGACTGAGCGACTTCACTTTCACACATTGGAGAAAGAAATGGCAACCCACTCCAGTGTTCTTGCATGGAGAATCCCAGGGACGGGGGAGCCTGGTGGGCTGCCGTCTACGGGGTCACACAGAGTCGGACACGACTGAAGTGACTTATTAAAAGCAGCAGCAGCCTTTCATCTTCCACAACTTCTCCTTTCGAGGCCCCCCTCATTATTATTTAAAAATCAGTGCCCGAGATCCAGCTTTACTGAAAATATTCCTTCCTGTTCCTCCGTCTCCCAGCTCTTGGCTGAAGCAGCTTAATTTCGAGAGGTCACTTGGGCTGATGAAGTTCAATGCTTCTGCGGCTCTGGAGCACACGGATGCACACACATTCTCATCCCGAGGGCCACCCAAGGTGCTCACACCCGTACAGGATAGGGTAAGGAGACGGGTGCTCACCACAGAGCCACACTGGCTCTTCGTTGGAGCCACAGCGTCTGGAGAATGGTTCGGTCACCTTTCGCGACTGAACGAATTAATTTAACTGATGTTTGCCAAAGGGCAAGGACAATGTCTCCTCTACAAGAAACTTTCCGGTGATGGACGCTCCTTTCGTTCCTTTCCCAAGCTCCCATTCTTCACCATTTGGACACAGGATAGCTGTTAAAATTGTTTCTTCTGCAAACTATCCCTTCCCAACTTTGAGTTTACGCTCATAAACGGAAACGTCCTTTAGCCAATTCGGCGACGAAGGGGTTAAATCTCAGCAACCTGATGGATTCTGGGGCTTTCCTTCCTCGACTTCAGAAATTAAAACGACCAGGAAGGGAAATTTTGCCCAAGGTAAAGATGAGAATCGTTAACTTCAATCGTCAGGCTCCTGCCCCAAACAGGAATGGCTACCCACGCCTACAAAGAGTGCCATTCCCCTAACTAAACATGGCTGGCCCCACTTTCCACCACCACGGCCACTTCCTGCCCAAGTCCAAAATGGCGCTCAGTAGCCTCACCAGGGGAACGAACCTCCCAGGATCCTCTCTGACCCGTAACGTCAAGTGACGTAAACCCCAGCCGGAAGTGGAGGAAAAAGCGCCTCAGCCCGCGGCGCCTGCGCAGAAGGCTCTAGACGCTGAGAAGCAGGAGGCACTTGGGATCGTCCGCAGGATTGGGACTGCTACAGAGGCCGCCACGGAGCCCGCCGGAGCCACCGTTCCTGCTGCTGCCGCCGCTGCCCGAATCATAACCGTCGGGCCGCAGCAGCCGGCAATGCCTCGAAGGAAGGTGAGAGGAACAGGACGGGAGGGATGGCGGGTTTCTAAGGACAGTCGTTTGAGAAACATGACGCATTTGGCCACGCCTCACAATGGTTGCGTTCCAACTTCCCGCTCCCCCGAACCTAGCTTAGCAACCCTCTTCTGTCCATACCCAACAGAAAAATGTGGGCCCGACCCTGGCCTCGGCCTATGGTTGCAACTATTCCCGCCCTCTGCTTGCCTGGCTCGGAGGCGTTCTTCTCGTTAATTGGTCGCTGAAACGTCTAGAAGCATATTGATTGGCTGGTGACACCGCCCATTTGGGCTCAACGGTCACCTCCCCGCGTGTGGGGGCGGTGTCTGGGCCCGGCTCTATCGCTGTCCGACAGGCCGTAGAGTACGATCTCTCTTCTCTTGATTGGCTAGGCCTGCCAGTCTGTCCTGTGGGGGCGCGGTTTATCGGGACCGCGATTGGGTGGCTCGAATCCCCTCCCTTCCGTCTGATGATGCTCACAGAGGCGGGGTTTTGGAGCATCCTTCCTTTCCCTGCGGGGGATACAACAAAGCCGAGAACTGGGTGGTAGAGAACCAGCGCCCACTCCCAAGGGATCTCACTCTGGCCTGTTGCTCCTAAGCTGTAATTTTTCCTTGTCTGCTTAGTTAGCGCCTACAAAATGCAGTTCATTAAATCAGAAACTTCCTAGAATTAGATGGGGTTTATAAGATCACCTAGGGACCCCTTTTCTCAGCTAAACAGACAGGCTTAATGGAGTACCCCAAGCCACTCAGGCAATGCAGAGCCGGGACTCTAGAACAAATCTAATTCAATTCAACAAATGTTTATTGACTGCTTGCTACCTGCTGGCTGCTGGGGATTCAGAAATTAATTGGACATGATCCCTGGCTTACGGAAATCTGAGTCTAATGGGGAAAACAGACTCGTAAGTAACTTGAAAGGATCTAGTAAATTCTCTACTTGGCCGCAGTAGACAAAGCTTAATGGCAGGAAAGGGAGAGAGCAGAGCAATTAAGTCTGCTATGGAGTAAGATGGGAAGTAGATTAGTAAAAGCCGGGAGAGAAGAACTCAATTCCATGATCAAGCCAGGAAGGTGATGGTCAGAGATAATCAGGGATTCAATATCTGAGTAATTGGACTGGATGACTTTTAAGACTCCCCTTTTATCCTGTCAATTTGCTGTGGCTGTCTCCAGAGCCTCCACTCAGTATCTGGGCAGATTAGCCTTGGAATATTTTGAAAGTTGATTGTATTTTTGTTCATTTCTGCAGAAATGTTTCTCTTCCCAGAGGCTTTCAAGTATACTTTTTAATGTCTCCTACAGTGATGTACATTGATAGGTGGCATTTATGTTAAGGTTCACCAAATGCAAGAATAGTACTGGTGCCCACAGTTCTCTTTCTGCAGTTCCCAAATACAGAGAACACTTGTGAAAATGTACGATTTTTAGTAGCTTATTTGGTGGCAAAACCTGTCCTAAACTGTCCTGAGGCGATTTACAGTTTTTGTGTGTCTAATTTAGTGTGATTGTCTATAAATTTTGCTGCAGAAAGGGTATTATTTGTAGCATGTATGCAAATTTTTCCCTTTCTAAAAATCTAAAAGATTATGAATCCAAAACACAACTGGTGCTTAGGATTTTGAATAAAGAACTTATATCAATAATTTGAAGCTTTAGTGTTTTTTTTTGGTTTTGTTTTTTTATTTTTTTAGCAAATATATTTCTCTTTCTGGTTTAGTAAAAGGTACAGTGTTAATAAAAGTTAACACTTTTATTAGCGCAGTTGGTAAAAGTTGTCTCTGTGGCTAATCATGCCTCGGAAGGCTAACAATTGGTAAATAATTATTAATCGAAAAGGTGATCTTTAAAAACCTTCTGTTTGCTGCTGCTGTTGCTGCTAAGTCGCTTCAGTTGTGTCCGACTCTGTGCAGATCCCATAGACGGCAGCCCACCAGGTTCCCCGTCCCTGGGATTCTCCAGGCAAGAACACTGAAGTGGGTTGCCATTTCCTTGTCCAATGCATGAAAGTGAAAAGTGAAAGTGAAGTCACTCAGCTGTGTCGGACTCTTAGTGACCCCATGGACTGCAGCCTGCCAGGCTTCTCCGTCCATGGGATTTTCCAGGCAGGAGTACCGGAGTGGGTTGCCATTGCCTTCTCCAGCCTTCTGTTTATGCTTACCTGTAAGTCTTCATGTGCGAGTCACTCCCTTCCCCCCTTTCTTAAAGCACTTTGGCATTCAAGTGGAGAAACTTTAAAAGTAGATAACATAAGAAAGAAGAATGTTACTATCTTTCTCCCTAAGTTCTGTTAGGACCATGACATTTTGAATTAGTGTGTGGTTTTTAAAAATGTAATAGCTGTTCATGGAGACTTTGAACAAATGCTACTCTAAAGTTCAATGGAGTCTAGCACTAACATATTTCTCATTACCCTTGACTTACTGTAAGTACATGTTTTATGTCAACCAGACTGTTTTGAGTAAAATATTAAAGTTTGTGGTACTGACCTAATGAACTTGTTTTGGAATTATAATAATACAGTAAGAATTCTTCTCCTGTATTTATTTAATAAAGGTGCATTATTTGTCAGTTCCATTTAAATAAATAAAATGAAGGTTTGAACTTGTTGTTATCAACATCACAGTCTGTTTTATTTCCAGTGTTAATTCAAACCCACAGAGTAAATGTTTCTGTCCTAATGTCTGAATCTATGGTGTTACAGAGGAATGCAGGGAGTAGTTCAGATGGAACCGAAGATTCCGATTTTTCTACAGATCTGGAGCACACAGATAGTTCAGAAAGTGATGGCACATCCCGGCGATCTGCCCGAGTCACCCGCTCTTCAGCCCGGCTAAGCCAGAGTTCCCAAGGTAAAGGCAGCTTCCTTTTTCTTTTTTTTTTTTTAAATTTTATTTTTTAATTTTTTTTTTATCACAACCATAGTGTATCTTTTTTTTTTTTTTTTACATGTATTCCCCATCCCGGTCCCCCCTCCCACCTCCCTCTCCACCCAATCCCTCTGGGTCTTCCCAGTGCACCAGGCCCGAGCACTTGTCTCGTGCACCCAACCTGGGCTGGTGAACTGTTTCACCCTAGATAATATACGTGTTTCAATGCTGTTCTCTTGAAACATCCCTTTTTCATGATCACACCTCACAGCTTGTTGCACGTCATATTATTGTGCTGGTTAATGTGGAAACTGGTCCCTTGTCTGAATGTTGATGACAGAATCTGGTAAAATGCAGAATAAATGACTGTGAAGTTTCATGTGTTTAAAAATGGTTCCATTTGTGGAACTGTTTAATTTGTAGACCCAAAAGAACTGTGTCTGGTTTAATAGATGTGTGACACATGAATGTCCTGAGTCATTTAATTTTTTATAGATTACAGTTTTCCAGTCAGTAAAATGAGAGTATTATCTTTTCACTTCCTAAAAGCGGTTTAGGCCTAGGGACTTAAAGTGGTCTCTTGAAGAACTTGTTATTGTAGGAGGCCCAGTACTTCTAAGTGAAGTGAGGTGAAAGTTGCTCAGTCGTGTCAGACTCTTTGTGACCCCATGGACTACACAGTCCATGGAATTCTCCAGGCCAGAATAGTGGAGTGGATAGCCTCTCACTTCTCCAGGGGATCTTCCAGGTTGATCTTCTTTGATCAACCCAGGGATCAAACCCAGGTCTCCCGCATTGTAGGCAGATTCTTTACCAGATGAGCCACAAAAAAGCCCCAGTACTTCTAAAACCATGTTTAATTATACAATATAGTCAGGTATAGTTAATAAATAGAAACAGTTGACCAGCTGTCAATTGTAAATACCCAGAATTTTGCTTTGGTAGTAAAGAATGGGGAATCTTGGTGTTGGAAGGTTCTGTAGTGCAGTTGGCCATCTGGGCTTGGATTTGGAGGGTATCCCTGACCCTCCTGGCTCTGCTCTGGGATTCTATGGGGAAGACAGAAAGTTGTAATTAATACAGAAAGCCAATGATCAATTAAGAGGGATAGTAAATTAAGGAAAATGTAAAATACTTTGAGCACTTAAATAGTGTTTATTTGGTTAATTGCTATATGAACATGTTGCAGAATAAGAGAAAAACATCTATTTTTTCAAGCAAGAAGGTGGGAACATTCTCTTGTAGCAACTGTTCTTTATTTTTGAATCTAATATTTGAGCTGAAGTATAGATGTCTCTTGATTTCTCAACCTTAAGTTTTTATCTTTTGGTACAGTGGAAATATTGATAAATGGCTATTGTAATTGAGGTACTATGCTATCTTCTGGAATACCGTGATAGAAAAATCACACTTCTTACCCTCAAGGATCTTACAGTGTAGTGCGGGATGTAAACTGGTATGATAATGTATTGTGGAGTGGGCTCTGAGAGAGGTTGGCATGGAGTACTGTGGAAGTCCAGAGGTGGAAATCTTAAAGGATCTAGTAGGAATTTACAAGTTGAAAATGGAAAAGTGGTATTACAGGCAGAGGGTATGCCTAAGTGATTGTGCATAAGTGATCTTAGAAAGTGTAGTTGGCCATGCACTAGATAGCTGACAGATGTAAATATTCAAAATAGCTAGGAATTATTAGGTTGGTGCAAAAGTAATTGCAGTTTTGCATTGTCGAATTTTGCCATTTGATACTGGAATACATTGTTAAATAAAAGTGGTTATCTTACACATCATTTCAATGTGCAATTCTTGCTTTAGTGTTTTTGCTAATGAGTTATTGTTTATTTTTATATGTATTTTAGACTGTGGAAATGATGTTAGACAAAAAGCAGATTTGAGCGATTTTCTTGTTCAAATTCAAAATGGGTCATAAAGCAGCAGAGACAGTTTGCAACATCAGCAACACGTTTGGCCCAGGAACTGCTAATGAACGTTCAGTGCAGTAGTAGTTCAAGAAGTTTTGCAAAGGCCTTCAAGATGAGGAGCGCAGTGGCCAGCCATTAGAAGGTGACAGAGACCAATTGAGAGCAATCATAGAAGCTGATCCTCTTACAGCTACACAAGAAGTTAACCGAGAACTCAGTGTGGCTTGTTCTATAATAGTTTGGCATTTGAAGCATATTGGAAAGGTGAAAAAGCTTAATAAGTGAGTGCCTCATGAGCTGACCACAAATGAAAAAAAGGATCATTTTGAAGTGTGATCTACTACTATGTTGGTGCAAAAGTAATTGCGGTTTCAGACTGTGAATTTTAAATCTTTATAACTGAGCTCAAACACACCTTTATTCATCAAAATAGGAACCATTACAGTCAACACATTATTGCAAACAAGAAATAAATTTGTTTATATGTGTAGTGTAAAAATCCATGCTTTAGAATTCAGTGAACTCTTAGAAAGCACTTTCTGCCTCCTGCTGATTGTGGAAGCATTTTCCCTGCAGAAAGTTGTCGAAATGCTTGAAGAAGTGGTAGTCGGTTAGTGAGAGGTCAGATGAATATGGTGGATGAATTAAAACTTTGTAGCCCAGTTTGTTCAACTTTTGAAGCCTTGGTTGTATGACATGTGATCAAGCATTGTAATAGAGAAGAAGTCTGTTGACCAATATTAGTTGCAGGTGTTGCATTTTTCAGTGCATCTCATCGATTTGCTGAGCATACTTCTCAGATGTAATGGTTTCACCGAGACTCAGAAAGCTGTAGTGGATCAGACATCTGCAACAGGCCACCAAACAGTGACCATGACCTTTTTTTTGATGCAAGTTTGGCTTTGGGAAGTGCTTTGGAGCTTCTTGGTCCAACCACTAACCTGGTTGGTCGCTGGTTGTTGTATAAAATCCACTTTTTGTCGACAAGTCGAAGGTCATAATCCAATCAAGAAATGGTTCCTTGTTGCATAGAGAAGACAACACTTCAAAATGACAGTTTTTTAAATTTTTGGTCAGCTCATAAGGCACCTACTTACCAAACTTTTTCACATTTCCAATTTGCTTCAAATGCCAAATGACCATAGAATAGTCAGTGTTGAGTTCTTGAGCAATTTCTTGTGTATTCGTAAGAGGATCAGCTTTGAAGATTGCTCTCTGTTGGTTGCTGTCACCTGATGGCCAACCATTGCATTCCTCATCTTGAAGGCTCTTGTCTTCCTTTGCAAAATTGTGTGAACCACCACTGCACTGTACGTTCATTAGCAGTTCCTGGGCCAAGTGCATTGTTGATGTGCAAATTGTCTCTGCTGCTTTATGACCGATTTTGAGCTTAGGCAAAAAAAATTGCATGAATTTACATCACTCATTATCAGAGAAATGCAAATCAAAACCACAATGAGGTACCATTACACACCAGTCAGGATGGCTGATATCCAAAAGTCTACAAGCAATAAATGCTGGAGAGGGTGTGGAGAAAAGGGAACCCTCTTACACTGTTGGTGGGAATGCAAATTTGTACAGCCACTATGGAAAACAGTGTGGAGATTTCTTAAAAAGCTGGAAATAGAACTGCCATATGACCCAGCAATCCCACTTCTGGGCATACACACCGAGGAAACCAGATCTGAAAGAGACACGTGCACCCCAATGTTCATCGCAGCACTGTTTATAATAGCCAGGACATGGAAGCAACCTAGATGCCCATCAGCAGACCAATGGATGAGGAAGCTGTGGTACATATACACCATGGAATATTACTCAGCCATTAAAAAGAATTCATTTGAATCAGTTCTAATGAGATGGATGAAACTGGAGCCCATTATACAGAGCGAAGTAAGCCAGAAAGATAAAGACCATTACAGTATACTAACACATATATATGGAATTTAGAAAGATGGTAACGATAACCCTATATGCAAAACAGAAAAAGAGACTCCGATGTATAGAACAGACTTGTGGACTCTGGGAGAAGGCGAGGGTGGGATGTTTCAAGAGAACAGCATCGAAACACGTATATTATCTAGGGTGAAACAGATCACCAGCCCAGGTTGGGTGCATGAGACAAGTGCTCGGGCCTGGAAGACCCAGAGGGATCGGGTGGAGAGGAGGGTGGGAGGGGGGACCGGGATGGGGAATACATGTAAATCCATGGCTAATTCATCTCAATGTATGACAAAAACCACTGCAATGATGTAAAGTAATTAGCCTCCAACTAATAAAAATAAATGAAAAAAAAAATTGCTTGAATTTGCTTTTTGTCTAACATAATTTCTATAGTCTAAAAATAAACAGCAAGTAATAAGTCATTAGCAAAAAAAATAAAGCAAGAAATGCACATTAAAATGGTGTATAACATAACCACATTTATTTAAGAATGTATTCCAATATCAAACAGCAAAGTTCAGCAATGCAAAATGACAATTACTTTTGCACCAACCTAATACCTGAGCCCTTGGTCTCTTTCTAGTTACACTTTATCACCAGTAAGTTACACAACTCCTGGGGACACCATTCACAGTATGATTCGTGTTAGATGGCCCTTTCTAAAACAAAATGTTGACTACATTGTAAATGGAGCCCCTTGGAGATATGCAAGCTGAAAACCGAGCTGTGTGCCAACTTTTACACGAGTTTGAGAATTTCAGTTTTCTTTGAAGAATCCATAAGATTTACATATTAGGATCTTTTGTTGTTTAAAATAGTTTAATTTTAGCTCTGAATTGCGTTTATTCCTGTAAGTGTCTTGAGATTGGAGATGTAAAAGAACTATTGGCTGCTTCAGAATAGATTTCTGCATCCAAAAAGTTTTAAGGTTGTATCCCTGCCTTACCCTTTATGAATCTAGTATTATTTTGCTTTAGAGTGTCAGGGTAATCAAGAAGAAAAAAAGGTCCTTAATGAAAGGAAATATTTGCATATTGTTATATCTTTAGCAGTAGAGTGTCTCTTTTCTGGTGGGTTAGAGTAAAGGAAGAAAGAGCATGTAGCTAATATTTATAAAGCACTACATTTGGATATCTAAGAATCTTAAGTCCCTTATATGAGTTATTTCACTTATTTCTCACAGCAAATGTGTGAAGAATGTGGTACTAGTATTTTCCCCTTTTTTTTATAGATCAGGAAATAGGCTTGGAGAGATTAACTTGCCCAGTATGCCCAGCTAGTTAGTGTGATGAAGTGGAATTGAATTACATTCAATCTTTATTCCAGTGCCTAAGCCATTAATTCTGTGCTGTACTGCACCTGTCTACTGTCTCTATGTTGGTTATATTTAGGAGAACCTACATGCTAATAAGTCACACTAATGGAATATAAAACAGATTTCTTTCTTTTTTCTTTAATTGTTTTATTATTTTTAAAATCTGGATCAGATTCCAGTCCTGTTCGAAATTTGCAGTCTTTTGGCACTGAGGAGCCTGCGTATTCTACCAGGAGAGTGACCCGTAGTCAGCAGCAGCCTACTCCAGTGACTCCGAAAAAATACCCGCTTCGGCAGACTCGTTCATCTGGCTCAGAAACTGAACAAGTGGTTGACTTCTCAGATAGAGGTGAGTGGGTATGGGTGGTTTGGACTCATTACAGAGAGGATCTAATCAGTTTCCTCCTACAAGAGGCTTGGAGCCACTGCAGATAGATGCCCAGTACAAAATTCAGCTAGGTGACTGGTGCTTGTCTGATTCCTTTCTTACCTCTTTCCGAGGACAGTTTGATACTCTGCTACTCTTGAGGTCCAGAGTAGCTGGAGTATATTTGATCTGGCTTACATTAGGCAAAAGAAACTGACGACCTCTTACCCACAGATGAAGAAGGCTTAAAGCAGTTTTTCTTATAGTCCTGCTTATGAGTCCATTTATCTCTGAAGTTCTGAGGAGGAATGACTGTCAGTAATGCGGAATGAATGGTAAGCTATTGAGTCTGTGATTCACCAGGTCAAATCAGAGGCCTTAGAGCAAAGACTATGGACTGCTGAATTTCTAGCCTGCCAACGTGGTCTGTTGGTTTGATGGCATCATATTTACTTTCTTTAAAAAAAGTGACCAGTATTTGAAAAAACAAAGATTCTATGTAGAAACATGAGTTACTAGTTTCTTTTAAAAAATGGAAAGCTCTGGGAACATTAGGTGGCCATTCACCACATAATTGACTGGAACTGAATAGTAGTTATCCTTTTGAGAGAGACAATCGGCTCTTGATTTGGCCTTGCTCAGCACTAGTAGGCATTTGATTTGCAACACCTGATTCAGAGTTAGTCAAGTCCTTTCACACTCACACCAGGTATGTTCAGTGTCATCCAGAAAGAATCATTTTCATTTATGTTCTATCCTATGTATCTCCCATCAGAAGAGTAGGATGATAATGTTTTTTAAAAGTTATTTCCATCCAGGTTTGATTATTCATGATTTGGGGCTTGGGAGAAGCACAAATAAGTGAAATGTATCATGTAAACCTCAAATGGAATTTTAGTCAGAATTTAAAGTTGCACAAGGGAAGTGCTGTTATTAGTTCTTCTTCATTTTCCATTTAGTTTTATGGCAGATAAATGACAAAAGTTATTGGTTAAATCACAGGAAGAGGATCTTGGGAAGCCTATAAACTCTTCTGAATATTATAATCCTCCAAGTAAAATAAACTTCATTCATGAGTTCTACCAATTGTTTTACTTTAGAAACTAAAAATACAGCTGATCATGATGAGTCTCCACCTCGAACGCCGACTGGAAATGCCCCTTCCTCCGAATCTGACATAGACATCTCCAGCCCCAACGTGTCTCACGATGAGAGCATTGCCAAGGACATGTCCCTGAAGGACTCGGGCAGTGATCTCTCCCATCGCCCCAAGCGCCGCCGCTTCCACGAGAGCTACAATTTCAACATGAAGTGTCCTACACCAGGCTGTAACTCCCTCGGTAAGTGTGCCCCCACCTCATGGCACCATGGCTTGTGTGGTTTTATCTCTCTCTGGAATTAGGATCACCCAGAAATGTTTAGTGTTCCCGTTGCGACTTAGCTTCTTAGGGTCTTCAGTGACCACTGCTTAGAATAACACTGAATTGTTCACTTGGATAAAAGCATTCCTGCTTCTTGGCTTATTGTCCATAGTAACAGATTTGGTTACAAGGAAATTAACTATGATGCACCATTCAGTTTATTGAGAACTTTTCCCAGTGAAAAATTCTTTCATTTTTCCAACAAAAACAAAACAGAATGTCAGTTATCTCCAAATACCTGATTGTATGGTGTATAGTTCAAGCGTACTGAGGACTAATAATAGAGTGTAAGGTGAATAAGTAATGGTTATATGGCCATAGCTATTAAGGAAATGAGAAAAACATTTTTTTTTGGTCAAGAGGCACTGAAGGTGAGGAGTATAGATGAGACCCTGACCTTTTGTGACTTTAGTAGCTTTAGGTTTTCTGGCTTTGTATGCTTAGGAAGTATAAACTAGATAAATATTTCTTCTCAGATAGATGTTTCCTTAAGAGTTATTTTTTCTCCTTACTGAGGGATTCTAGTAATGTTTTAAAAATTTTAGGTGTGTTCTGTGCTTGCTTCGGCAGCACATATACTAAAAATTTTAGCTGTGTTCTTTAAGTGAGCTTCGGTGCAGATGTTGGTCTTAACTTTTGTCTAGAGTTGGAAGGTGCTGATTGAGAGACAGTGGGCCTCTTTTTCTACCTATTTAACCTTTGAATGTGGCCTCCAGGTTCAGAAAAATGGTAGAACAGAGAAAGTTGCTGCTTTGCAGACTATTAGTATGTTTTCCCTAGTATTTGGATCCTTTCTTGGTCTTAGCAGCAGTTTCTTAGGTAATTTCAACCCATCAAATGAATAATTAGAACAGAGTTCCCCTGAATGCTGTACCAGTTGTTACTTGGGGTAGCTGTTTTAGGCCTAAGTCAATTTCCTTGAAATAAATAATGAAAAACTAAGAATAGTATTGTACAAATACTAATGCAAGAGATAGCTAATATACTTTAAGAGGATCTCCTTGCCACACAGCAAGATGAGGAATTTTCAACTCTGCTTGTTGCTGTCCATGCATCCTTAAATTGTTCCATTTGTTTTACGTACTATGTTTAATCAGTCATTCAGTGCTTACTGAATGTTTTCCTCTGCCAGGCACTGTTTTAAATTCTGGGGGTGGAGTTGTGAACATGTCAAATTCCCTACCTCTTGTAGCTTATGATCTAACTGGGAAAGACAAACAGATGTATAATACATAATCTGCTAGAGATGTGTACTGTGAGGGGTAGGGTACTGCACCTACACACAAGCGTGCCTGTGTAGGGAAAGCCACTCTGATATGCTGATATTTGAGCAGAAACATGAAATAAGTGAGAGAGTGAACTATTTGAATCTATGGGAGATAAACATTATGGGCAGAGGGAGCAGCTAGTGGACAGGGTCTGGGGCAGGAGAGTGCTTAGCCACTTTAAGGAATGCTTTAGGGGCCAGTATGCCTGGGCAGATAGACCAGAGTGGGGAGGAGGAGATGAGGTTAGAGTAGGGGTCTGATTTATGTGTTATTTATGCCCTGAACTCAGTACTCTTAATGTGGTAGACCAGAGGGTAAATATAAATCTTTTGTATCATAGGAAAGTTTACTTTGACTTGAAAAGTATGAACTTGAGCTTCTGCAGTGATTCTTGATCCTGTTCCACTCCTCGTCTTAGCGAAAACAATGTCATTAGGCTTGGGGGTGGGTTTTTTTTGGTTTTTTTTTTTGCAATTTTGGTATGAAAGTATGATGTGCTTTTGAAAAATTAAAACCCTATAGGAGGGCTTGAGTGCTAAGTAAAAGTTCTCCTTTACTCATATCCCCAGAATATATCCTAGATATAAAAACTACTGTTGGTAGTTGTGTATGAATACTTCTAGTAAGTTTTTATACATACATAACACATGTATATGTGTACATATATTTCTTTCTGTGTTATTATTTATAAAAAATATAAACAATGGTTGGTTTGACATCTTAGATATTTTACATTGTTGGCACTCAGAGGTGCCAACTATAGAGAATTCCATTGTATTTGAAAGTTTAGAAATTACTTGAATTGCTCTGTATTGATTGATATTTATATTGTTTCTCACTTTTTAGCTTCTTTTTAAAGCTATTTAGAACAGTACTCTAATTGATAGCCTTGTATGTATGTATAATATTTTGGTGTCTTTCTAGAAATCTGTTGGATGAATTCATAGCAGTGGAATTGCTAGGTTAATAGAACAACTATCATTTATAAACTTTTAATATAGGCAGATTGGTTTTAGTTTACATATTATAAAACAAACTTGAATAATTTATTCAGAAGTTACAGATAGATGCATAATATCTAAAAGGCCTGCTAGAGCCATGATACTTTACCTTTTGTACATAGTGTTTGATCAGTGAGGATCGTTTTTGATGTCTAAGATAAATGTGTGGATCTCTAAGGTTGCATTTTTAATAATATGTGCTGTGCTGTGCTAAGTTGCTTCAGTTGTGTCCAACTCTGTGCGATCCTATGGACTGTAGATCGCCAGGCCCCTCTGTCCATGGGATTCTCCAGGCAAGAATACTGGAGTGTGTTGCTGTTTCCTTCTCCAGGAGATCTTCCTGACCTAGGGATTGAACCTGTGTCTCTCTTAGATCTCCTGGATTGGCAGGCAGGATTTTTAATAATATAGTCTTGGAGAAATGGCAGCATGCATGTCATTATATTAACTCTTGTTCTTGTGTATGTGTGCTCAGTCATGTCTAACTCTTTACGACCTCATGGACTGTAGCCTGCTAGGCTTCTCTGTCTATGGGATTTTTCCAAGCAAGAGTATTGGAATAGGTTGCCATTTCCTCCTCCAGGAGATCTTCCTGACCTGGGGATCAAATCCACGTCTCTTATATCTCCTGCATTGGCAGGTAGATTCTTTGCCACTAGTGCCACCTGTAAAGCCCTGTATTAATTCTCCTCTCTCGCAATACTTGCACCGTTTTTGCCTTTTATTTGTTTATTTATATATTTTTTGGCTGCTCTGCCTAGCTTGTGGGATTTTAGTTCCCCAACCAGGGATCAAACCTGGGCCCTTGGCAGTGAGCATGCAGAGTCCTAACCACTGGACCACCAGGGAATTGCCTGTTGCTACCCTTTAAAGCTTACTCTGTAAATCTTGTATAATTTTTAAATCTCTTTTAAATGTCTCCTTTACTACAAATTAAATGTATTTTTTCCATGAAAGAAAGATATTTGTAGATTTGCAGTTTAACTTAGCTAATTTATCTTATTAGCATTGTCTCACCATCTGTCTCAGTCTTAGATGTTTGATGAATGTTTTGATTGAAGAGATATAAAAATGAAATAATTAATTACCTGTGTATTTTCACAAACTATGTGAAAAATAGAAAAATAAATAGCCCTTTAGAAAAAAAAGAGCTTTCTGTATTGTCTTTTCTAATATTTTTCCTTCTTTCCCTTGCACAAACTGCCTGTTTAAAAGTTTGATTATGTATTTTAAAAACAAAATAGTAATAATATAAAAGTTTGATTATAAAAGAAGCCTAAAACTTTAAACAAAATCAGCCACCCCTCCACAAAAAATGAATATATTTCATCTGGTCCAAAATTACCAAAGTATATTTCCTCATATGATAGAAAAGACCACTTCCATCTCCATTTTGCATAAGTTTCTTTTGATTATTGTAAGAAGTTCAGTTTAGATTGGATAACATTTTGCACAATAGAAAGTACACTTATTATACATATGACTTGATCAATTTAGCATAGGAAAGTTAAATTCTACCAAAAGAAAATATTCTTGCGTATAACTTAGTGCCTTTTAAGTAAATTTATGGGTTTCTGACGTTTTGGAATTTGAGAAATATGTGATCAGAAAAGAAGGAACTACAATTTATATTGAATATATGCAAATATGTTCAGAGGTGGTTAGGTCCAACCTGTAGAAGAAAAGAATTTATTGTGGGTGCAAGTTATAACCCTTACCTTTGGTGGATTTATTCTGTAATCAGACATATACTTGATAAAAATGATATCATAAAAAAAGGTTTATTTTAGTGAAAACTATTACTTTCCAAGCTTAGATCTTTCATCTTGAGGTTAAGTTTTTTCCTCTTTTAACAGGACACCTTACAGGAAAACATGAGAGACATTTCTCCATATCAGGATGCCCTCTCTATCATAACCTCTCAGCTGATGAATGCAAGGTAATTATATTGTTATTTATTCACCATATACTTATTGAGTGCTTACCATTTGCCAGGCACTTGGCTAAACAGTGGGGATACAGTGTGAACAAGATGGGCAGGGTCCTTGTTCTTATGTACTAGTGGAGGAAAATTATGAAACAGCTGTGAGTAAAAAAAGGAAAACAGACTAATAAAAGAATTATTGTCTGTAAGGAGTACTTTGAGAGAAATTAACAAAGGGATTATCTATGGAATATTTGGAACATCACCCTCTAACTGCATCGATATTTTCTGTTGAAAATTTTCTTGAAAGATTGCTAGGAACCTTTTCCATTAAGGAATGATTTGCATAAATATGTGATCTCAGTATTTATGCATTAGTTTCTCTTGTAAATCTATGAGGATATTTTACTTTTTAAAGGTTTTTCTAAATTCTCTTCCTCTTTGTCTACTTCTATGGAATACTTTTCCTTTTTGTTACTCTCAGTCATACCTACTCTTGGCTAATTCTTATCTTACAGTCTTGAAAAATACAGTTCTAAATAACTTTTGGAATTTGAAATAATGGATTTAAGAGTAGAACCTAAGACCCTATTTTGTTGTTTCTGTCTGGATTGTTGCTACCAAGGAGGAATCAAAAAACGAATTACCGGCAAACAAATTGAAAATGTTATTAATTAAACACATTGCTCAGGTAGTATTTGGATAGGGTATCCAGGTTGGTTAGACCAAAGTATTAATTGTTGCTTTTGTGGTGATTATTTTGCTAAAAAGGCCAGTATAACAGGTTTATTCCTGTCTGGGCTAGATTCCTCCTGAGAAAAATGAGATTCCCTAGTTAACGTTAATCCTCCCTGATTCAGGAATGTGTTCTCTTATTTATAAGTGGACCACAGGAGGGAAAGCTCTTTTATGTGTTGTGTTTAGTCTTTCAGTAAAGTAGTATACTTTCGGTACGTAATGTGAATTTTAAGTTTGTGGACTCTTACCCTTGTTTTCCTTCATCTCAACTCTCTCTTATAAGCAAGGCAGTTTCTTTTGCTGACTGTAGAAGTGGTAGGTCTTGCCATTATCTTCCCGTTAGTGTGAGACCAGATCAAAACAAGAATAGCTCTTCCATCTTCTCCATCAGAAGCTGACAATGCATTAGGTGCTTCTTTCTCTGAAAATAACTGTGATCCCTGTTTTTTGGGAGTTGTCTGTTACCATTTGTCTTTAAATGTAATGATCTAACACTGTGGATGGTTTTACATAAAAGTCTTCTTAAGGTATAAAATTGTTGGCTGATGGCAGTATGAACATGTTGCCTTAAGCAATTTATTTAAAAAAAGAAAGACAATTTTCAGTTTGGGGAAGAAAATTTTGGAAAAAGGAGCACATTTCTTGAACTTTACTCTTTTGTGGTCTCTGTTACAAAGGGAATCAGACTCAGGATAATCCATCTTTACTACTGGACCTTGTGGTTAGAGGATCAGGAGTGTTTCTGAAAGATACATCTTTTATTACATTTAGAATCTCAAATGGAAACATTAGACTAATTCCTCACATTTATTAAAAACGTGAGTTTTAAAAATACTTGGCATGCACAGAATTACTCTTGAATCTTCCAATAAATGATTGCAATCGGCAATATTACCGTTTTTATTCAGTCAAAAGACCATATTCAGTGAGTTTACATTTTCATGGGGAGAGGCATAAGCAACATAGAAAATCAGTATGAAGTTCATTTAGTGGTAAATGTTGTGAGAAACAAAAAGACTAAACAGAGAGTGGCTGTTTTGGAGGTGACAGGGTGTGGCACTGCTTTTGCTTGGGCTGTGAAGAAAGACATTTTATCTGAGGCGTGGGTGATGGCAAAGAGGCAGTTGTGTCTGGATGCTGAGTAGATGACTGGGTAAGCACAAAGGCTGTGAGGTGGGGAAAAAATGGTTGGGTTTGAAGGATGGAAAGTAGGCCAGTGTGGCTGAAATGTGATAGGAAATGAAGAAGTAGGATCCAGATTATGAAGGGCCTGTAGGCCTTGGCAAAGGGAGTATGCTTTTGTTCTGACAGCCATGGGAAGCATTCAGAGGGCTTTAGCAAAATACCAAAACACTTTTGAAAAATCACAGCTTGCTGGTATGTGGAGAATGAACTGGAGGGGGAAAGAGTTGACACAGGGTAGACTTGTGGGAAGGCTAGTCTGAGGTTCAGGCAGTAGATGGTGGCTTGGACTGTTGTCAGTGGAGATGGTCAGAATTGGTTGGACTCAGGATGTGTTTTGGAGAGGGGCGGCCTGGTAGACTTGCTGATGAATATCATGTGAGGAGGGAGAGAAGAGAAGAATCAAACATCATCGGTGTTCAAGTTTTTGACCTGATCAGTTATTTAAAAGTGTTACTATTTATTGCTATAGAGGAGATTTGGGATGGAGCAGATTTGTGGGAGAGTGTTAGTCGCCCTGTTTTGACCATGTTGGGTTTTAGTGTTGATGTGAAATAGGGAGCTGGATATGAGTCCTCACTGCCCAGTAGATGAATCTGAGACTGTTGGCAACGAAGGTGATTTATCTAAGGTCATAAATGCAGTTAAGTTTCCCTATAGACTTGATCTCAAGTATCTAAGCTTTTCTTTGTACTTCTTTACTCTGTTCTTGCACTTCCTCACACTTATACCATTGCACAGTGGAAAGAGGCTCAGAGTCATCAGACTTAGTTAAAATCCTAGCTTTACCACCATCCAGCTGTAATTATGTCACTTTCTGATTCTCAGATAATGGCTGAGAAAACAGAATATGAAGCTTGCCTTATCTGTTTCTTATACAGATTGTGCTAATGTGAAGACCCTTTGAAAGTAAAAGTACAGTGTAAATTCAAAGGATTACTGCTGTATTCTTACCCTTTAAGTAAACATAGTCTTAGAAGCAGGTGGATTGATTGACATTGTTGATGGTTGCAGGTGAGAGCACAGAGCCGGGATAAGCAGATAGAAGAAAGGATGCTGTCCCACAGGCAAGATGACAACAACAGGCATGCAACCAGGCACCAGGTATGGGCCTTGTTAAAGCTCTGGCCGTTCACAGTTTGAGAGCCAAGTCTTGGATTCTCTCTGCCCCATGATGGTTGTAGCTATGTCCACGCTTCTTGTTTCCTGTGCTGTGTCTTAATAACTGGTCTTCAGTCATAAACTTAGAAACAGTGCTTTTTCCAAATAGTAAATTTTCTAGAAACAAAACTTCTACCTCGTAAATGAAGGAATCGTGCTACTTGTGATAATAATAGGTAATCTTAATTATTTGAAAGATTACACTCTCTGCTCTATTTCCTCATTTGCATCCACTTTTTAACCCATTATAATTTGCTTTCAGGCCCCTCTACTCTGCTGGTATGTTTCCAATGGCACCAGTGACTTTTTCTTAGCATTGACGCTTGTTGATTATGTCACTTTTCTTCTACTTTTCTTTTCTATTGGATTCCAAAATGCTGCTTTGCTCTAATCTTTCTGCTTCTCTGAACATTCATGCCTGTTGATTTTACTTAATTCCTTATCCCCTCCCCTGCCCCTGAATGCCTTTGGTGTTTTCTCTTGCTGTTTTTCTGCCTAGAACTGTGTACTTATAGCAAGAAGAGATTATTTTTTTCCTTCAGGGCCTCGTGCAACTCTTAGCTGTTGTCGAAATTCTTCCCAAATCTTGTACCGTTAATGAATTTCTTCCTCATGTATTCCTATTTGTAATGTTCTCAGAATGTTAGTTTAGCTTTTAGCACATTTTATATACTCATAGCTCATCATATGGATGTCTGTTTTTGTGGTTAGATTATAAGTGGATAGCAGAGGAGGCACGGTGATGGGGAGAAATTTGACTTTAGAGCCAAACAGGTCTGGATTTGAATACTGCGATTCTGTTACTCTAGCTGTGTGGTCTCGGGCAGGTCAGCTAACTTCCCTCAGCTTTATTTCCTTGAATAATACTTACCTGGCGGTGTAGTCAGCTAAATTATGCATGTAAAGTACCTGTCCTCAGTGCTTGGCAGGTAATAAGCACTCAGTAAATGGTGGCTACACTTTTCTTCATTGTTTATCGTGGGTTCTAGTTCAATTTTTAAATTTTTATTCATTTTCCATATCAGTGCTTGGAAAGCAGTAAGCATTCAATAAATGCCTAATGAATTGAAATGATCTTTATTATATTCCTGTTGTTTCCATCCTTAATCTATATTCCATTTGGATTAACATTAAAGTAAGTACATTTCCTGAACTCATCTTAACTGACAGGATAGTGGTCTAGGTGATGAGGGAACCCCATTTGGAGTTTAAAAATTACTGCAGCATTCACAGGGTGGCTGTAATATACTTTGTGTCCCACCCCCACCCTTTTTCCCTCCACCCTTTCTCCACCTTTTCTCTTACTTTCATTTAGAGATGTAATTACCTAATGAGTTTTCTAGCTAGCTTCTCGACTTTCTCCTTTTTCTTTTTAGGCACCATCAGAGAGGCAGTTGCGATATAAGGAAAAGGTTGCTGAACTCAGGAAGAAAAGAAATTCTGGGCTGAGCAAAGAACAGAAAGAGAAATATATGGTGAGCATAAGTTAAATATTTAATAGCATGAACTCTTGCTATCACATTTGATTCCTTTTGGTTGCTAAGATTCTGCTTTTCACATTTGCCATTTGGTATGCTCTGTAACAGGACTCTTCTTTGGCAGTTAGAGTTCACTATATATGTAATTCTCCAACAAAAGTGGAACTGGGCGTTCTCAAAAAACAAATACTGTTACAATTTAGATTAAGAAAAATTGAATCTTCTAGTTTGTAAACCTCACTTTAGGTTTAAAGGGTTAAATGTTCTTGTTTGAACAAATACGATATTGATAAGGAAGAATATTCAAGCCAAGCAGCAGTCCATTTCTTTAAATGAAAGAATGAAATACCTACACAGTAAAAGGTTTTAATTGTGTGATGTATAGTAAATCTTTTTGTAGTTTTTTATTTTTCTAGTTTTAAAAATAGTGTACCCAAAAAAAAAATTTAAAAAAAAATAGTGTACATTTATGACTTCCCTGGTGGTCCAGTGGTTAAGAATTCACCTACCAGTGCAGGGTACACGGGTTCAATTCCTGGTCTGGGAAGATCCCACATGCCTTGGAGCAGGTAAGCCGTTGCGCCGCAGCTACTGAGCCTGACTGCTAGAGCCCATGCTCTGCAACAGGAGAAGGCAGTGCAATAAGAAGCCCCCGCACCTCAAGGAAGAGTAGCCCCCATTCACTGCAACCAGAGGAAGCCCATGCACAACCCCCCAGCAGCCAAGACCCAGCTGTAGAATTAGGCTGTCGGGTGAAAATTGTATGCTTCCCCTCTGTCTTGTTCAGTATTTTTATGTACAAGTTGGGTAGAGATGTAATAATATGATAATACCATTTATTAAGTGCTTATGTGCTAGGCAGGCACTGTGGTTATGTTGCTCCCATAATCTTTGTTACAAAGATGGGTGGTATTTCAGCTGTTTTATAGATGGAAAACTGAGATTTAGAGAGGTTATTTTCCCAGAATCATAAAGGTAGAGAGTGTCTGAATAAAAACTCCTGAAATTTACCTTACGTCTGCTTTCTAGTTTGGGCTGAACCTTCCTGGTAAAAGTGCTGGATAGGATTTTTTTAAGCTTTGTAAAAAAGTTCACAAAGCTAGCAGAAATACTTGGAACCCAAGTCTTAGGTGATAGAGCCCAAAATTGAAAAGATACCCATCAAAGGGGCCCAGATTAGCCTGAAGAAATTTTAATAGGGGTAAAAGTGCTGGTGAGTGGTTTCTTCATATGTTAATATGTGAGTAAAGTCTACAGCGTTCTTCCTGGAATGAACCTTCTCATCCTCTTAGCCATTATCTTCTACTGTCTTCCGAGCCTCTTCACCTTCTGCTAGGAGGTGGAGTCTAAAAGGAGTGGGAAGGGCTAGAATCGAAGGTTAAAAGGAAAGTTGCCCCTATGGAATTTCTTTCTTGTGTATGGATACTTGTATAGTGACTGCCATGGTAAGATTTTATATTATTTATTTAAAATTGGATTATTTTTGTGATTCTAATTTTCAGTGACTGTTCCCTCTTTTGTACTTGCTTAATATTTAGCAAAGCATTTCTTTTTTTTTCCATTTATTTTTATTAGTTGGAGGCTAATTACTTTACATCATTGCAGTGGTTTTTGTCATACATTGAAATGAATTAGCCATGGATTTACATGTATTCCCCATCCCGGTCCCCCCTCCCACCTCCCTCTCCACCCAACAAAGCATTTCTTAAGGAGGCTAAACTTTTTTCTTGTATACTTGGACTGGAGTTCTAAAGTGGGAGTATTCTAGTACCTTTGGTGGATTGTGTTATGTTAGGTGCAGCAATTCAAGGGAAAGAGTTTATAAAAGCCTGCTTAGTCCGGTTGCTCATTCCTGCCTGTAGATTTTATTTTCAGCCTAAAATCTTAGAATTGAAGGTTTAGAGATTCTAGTTTTTGGTTGTTTTTAAATGAGTATCCAACTAGATCTCAGGATTCTAGGAGTTGGTAGTGCATTTGGGTTTTGTTATATTTTATTTCTTTGTTTTGCCATGCACATTTTCAGAGGAAGAAATGGAAGCATACAGTTCTGAAGAATGAAACTCCCTTTGGGGTGGTTATAAGAACATTAACTTTCCAAGTTCACTAGAGTGGGTAGTGGGTATCTTCTGGAATTAACTGTCTGATACATAGTTTGTTTTGTACTTGATCCCTAGTGCCTAGTATAATGCCTGGCAAATATTAATAGTAGGTACTAAATAAATAGGTTATTTTTGGCTCTCTGGTTGGTATCCGTTGAAATGCAATAGGTTAAGTTCTTAGAAGCAGAAAGTATCATGCTCTGGTTATTTTCCTAGGAACACAGGCAGACCTATGGGAACACTCGGGAACCTCTCCTGGAAAACCTGACCAGCGAGTATGACTTGGATCTTTTCCGAAGAGCACAAGCCCGTGCTTCAGAGGATCTGGTGAGTATTAAAACTTCCAGGATGAGGACCACTTGTGAGGGTCACTTGGAACTGCCAAGGAAAATTAGCAGTCACTTTGCTAGGGATTAAACGTACCTTGCTGCTTGACTCTTTTTCCCTTCCCCCAGCCATCCTTATTTGAGATTTCCTTCCCATTCATATTTAAAATTAATTACCCCTCCTCCCTTCCTTTGTCTCTTAAAAGTTTTTCCTCTCCACCTTAACTCCTGAAAGGACCTGTTTGGTAGAGGTAGTTATGTGGGTAGAACAGTAGGTGCCCCTTTGTGTCAGTTGGATAATTTGTAATTCTGAGAACCTCTAGACTGGGAGGTACTCCTCTCTGTTGTCCCCTTAACCTAAATAGGAACTCTCCTTTGTGGGATTGCTTCAGCCTTTCATTACAGCTGTAAAAGAATGGGAGAGAAATAATGATCAAGGTTATTGGCAGATAGTTTAGAATTCTGATTTAATGAATTAAATATGTTCAAAGAAACTTAAAGTTTGTAAAGTGAATTTCATCTTCCTTTTTAAAAAAATTATAATCAAATACTTTAAGAATTCTCGATTATGTAGTCCTCCATGGGCTGGTTGGAAAAGAATTTTCAGACATGAGGCAGAATGAGAGGAGAACAGAGTTTCTTAGAGATGCTATTAGAACAGCAGGCTAACTCAAGGGCGAGCTGACCCCTTTCTTGGGCCAGTTGCCAACTTTTATAGCCTCACGGCAGAGAAAATTCCAACTGGAAGGGTGACATTAAGTGATTGGTTAGAATGTTTCAGGGTGGGTATTTTACCTAATGCAGGGTAAAGGGCCTGGCTGATTTAGATCAAGAGGCTCATGGCAACAGTTGCTACTGACCTTGGTTAATGACAGAAAGTTTTGTCCTGTGACCTTGGTATAAGGCTCCATGGCGGAGACCTGTTGAAATTTTGTGAGAGGCAGTGTTTGATCGCTGCCCTTGTTCAGGCTGGGCTACCGCTGTTGGTTTTTCTATCCTACCCTGGTACTGAACATTTCCTAGGCCAGATTTTTAGAGCTCTGTCTGATTATTCTTCAGAATTATTTCTGTGGCTAACTCATAGCCACTGAGTGGGGACAGGTATTCAAAAATACCTTCTACTTTCTAGCTTTAAATTCCATAATTAAAGCATCATCTCCGTTTCAAAAGTGTTTTTTAAAGGACCGAAGTTGAGAGGATGGCCAGCATGGGTGCATGTCATGCAGATCCATACAGCTTTCTTTATAAAAGCTTTTGCACACATATGAAGTACATTCTCGAGAAGCTTTTGTTTAGGTTTAGAATGTTTGTTAAGGTGTAGGGAGTTTGTGATAGATGGTCTTTTAAAATTCGATTTGTTTCAGGCTGATAAAAATTAAAATTTTACGAAGGGCTTGTTCGGATGTTCAAGAGATGAGGCCCAAGTGGGTAGGTAGCAGAGAAACACAACTCGCAAGACCTGTGCTCTGGGCAGTGTAGACAGTACATTTTCTCTAGCCTTGCTGGTGACCCATGCCCCCATAGTCCTCTTCAGTGCGTTTCTCATGAGATGGAAGCCAGATATTATTTTTTTCATAGCCAGTTGTGGTGGCATACACACAGCTTACAACAATAGAAATGATTAATTATGACCCTCCTTTGACTTGATTTCTTCTCTGCAATACAGGAGAAGTTAAGGCTGCAAGGCCAAATCACAGAGGGGAGCAACATGATTAAAACAATTGCTTTTGGTCGCTATGAGCTTGATACTTGGTACCATTCTCCTTATCCTGAAGAATATGCACGACTGGGACGTCTTTACATGTGTGAATTCTGTTTAAAATACATGAAGAGCCAAACAATACTCCGCCGACACATGGTAAGTTGTCTGAAGGTCCATGACCATGGTGGTGATAAGCTCTAGGATGTCTAGATTGTTGTTTTTCAGTTGCTCAGTCATGTCCAATGCTTTGCCACCCCATGGACGGCAGCACTCCAGGTTTGCCTAAAAGCTTCCCTTCCTTTTGCTCAAGCTCAAGTCCATTGAGTCGGTGGTGCCATCTAACCATCTCATCCTCTGTCATCCCTTTCTCCTGTCTTCAGTCTTTCCTGGCATCAGAGTCTTTTCCAGTGAGTTGGCTCTTCACATCAGGTGGCCAAAGTGTTGGAGCCTCAGCTTCAGCATCAGTCCTTCCAATGAATATTCAGGACTGATTTCTTTTAGGATGGATTGATCTCCTTGCTGTCCAGTGGACTCTCAAGAGTCTTCTCCAGCACCACAGTTCAAAAGGATCAATTCTTCAGCGCTTAGCCTTTTTTATTGTCCAGCTCTCACGTCTGTTCACGACTACTGGAAAAACCATAGCTTTGACTAGACGGAACCAGTCTGTTGTTCCGTGTCTGGTCTAACTGTTGTTTCTTGATCTGTATACAGATTTCTCAGGAGGCAGGTAAGGTGGTCTGGTATTCTCATCTCTTAAGAATTTTTCAGTTTGTTGTGATCTACACAGTCAGACTTTAGTGTAGTCATTGAAGCAGAAGTAGATGTTTTTCTGGAATTCTCTTGCTTTTCCTATGATCCAATGGATGTTGGCAGTTTGATCTCTGCTTCCTCAGCCTTTTCTAAATCCAGTTTGTATAAATCTGGAAGTTCTCAGTTCACATACTGTTGAAGCCTAACTTAAAGGATTTTGAGCATTACTTTACTAGGATGTGAAATGAGTGCAATTGTGTGATAGTTTGAACATTCTTTGGCATTGCCTTTCTTTGGGATTGTAATGAAAACTGACATTTTCCAGTCCTGTGGCTAGTGCTGAGTTTTCCAAATTCGCTGACATATTGAGTGCAGCACTTTTAACAGCATCATCATTTAGGGTTTGAAATAGCTCACCTGGAGTTCTATCACCTCCACTAACTTCCTGACCTCACACTCCAGGATGTCTGGCTCCAGGTGAGTGATCACATCATTGTGGCTATCTGGGTATGAATTACCTCTGCCCAGTTTTTCTGTCTCAAAGTGGATAAAAACAGATGGACTTCGCTAGACAGAACTGGCACGTGATTCACCTTTGTATATCTAGCAACTAGCCTTGGCAATAAATGCCCCATAAATGTGTGCTGAAGGAACTCTTGCTTAAGAAAGACAAATTATGAAATTAACAGAATAGGTCCTTGGGTCAGCCTTTCCCATGAGTTGTTTAGTGTTTTCTGGTTTCTGAACAGCCTTCTTGTGAAAATAGGAATAAACATTTGAATAATTTTTATTTTTTTACAAATGTATTCCCTAGTTATTTTATAGTTTTAAGCCATTTTTCTTCTAATTATGGGATGAAAAGTCTTGTCTTGAATTTCTGCTGTGGAGCAGGGGTGGAGATTGGTCTGTAAGATGAGGAAACCTCTGTTTTTTCTTATTTCCATAGTCACAAGTGATTGTGGCTGTATCTATAGCCCAGCATTCCTATAGTTTCTGTCATAGTATTCTTTCCAGTTTGGTACTAAAAACTGCTTTTTTGTGTTCCCAGCTCTGGAGTACACTCTGGCTCAGAACCACCATTGCCAATTAAGCCCTTTAGACTGAAGCACAGTAGGCTCCCACTAGACTGGATGGGGAAGAATGCTGGGAGTAGGGGGCAGGTGGGTGATAAGTGAGGACTGGGCTTCATGATTGTAGACCATGGAGTTAAGCTAATTTAGAGTTTGCTCTGTGAAAGACTGGTATTTTTATTGATGTGAACTGCTTACTGTTTCTCTTTTCTTTCTGTTTCTGTTTATTTAGTGGTACTAACTAACGAAGTAGCCAAAAGGTAAGAAATAGTAGGGAGAGAAAACAAAGGGCCTGTATAGTCTGAGGATCAAGTAAACAGTCTGAATATTTGACGATATCTAAGTTATAAAAATCGAATTTCACAAAATAGAAAACCTGTTTTAATTCATACCTCTGAAGATTCTTGTTGCTTTAGGCATAATCACAGAATGGGCTTTCTTTGCCTATTTGGCCAACAGTATGGCTTCTGTTTCTGAACAGATAATTGTTGTTTGCTCACTGTTGGGAAGAGCCAGCATGAGTAGCGGGGTGGAGACAGGAACCAACCACAGGTGGAGTTCTCATTACTGGATGAATATGTGGACTTACATGTGACAGATTGGGGCATGCTTCCTTTTTTTTAATTAGTGTTTTATTTTTGGCTCTGCTGGGTCTTCATTGTGGTGTGTGGGCTTCTCACTGTGGTGGCTTCTCGTTGCAGAGCAGGGCTCTAGGCACACAGGCTTTAGTAGTTGCGGTGCCTGGGCTCTATCTAGAGTGCTGGCTCAGTAGTTTTGGCACATGGGCTTAGTTGCCACGCGGCATGTGGGTCTCCTGCATTGGCAGGTGGATTGTTAACCCCGGACCACCATAGATGCCCTTATGACTCTTGATTGACCAAAAGAGTCAGAGTACAATTTCATAAAAAATATTCATATATACTTTTTTTTGTTGTTTAGTCGCTCAGTTGTGTCCAACTCTGTGACTGCATGGACTGAAGCACGCCAGGCTTCCTTGTCCATCACACTTTCCTGGAGCTTGTGCAAACTCATGTCCATTGAATTGGTGATGCCATTCAACCATCTCATCCTCTGTTGTGCCTTTCTCCTGCCTTCAATCTTTCCCAGCATCATGGTCTTTTCCAGTGAGTCGGCTCTTTGCATCAGGTGGCCAAAGTATTGGAGCTTCAGCCTCAGTTCTTCCAATGAATATTCAGGATTGATTTCCTTTAGCGTTGATTGGTTTGATCTCCTTGCTGTCCAAGGGACTCTCAAGAGTTCTCCAGCACCACAGTTCGAAACCATTAGTTCTTAAGCATTCAGCCTTCTTTATGGTCCAACTCTTACAACTGTACATGACTATTGGAAAAGCCATATGCTTTTTGATATTTTTAAAAGAATTTACATAAAATCTTTCAAAAAGTCACCTATTTACAGTAGTGGCTTCCCTGCATTAAATCTGTGAGCATTTGAAGGTGAGGAAAGGGGTACCTTGTGCCCTCTTGTGGCCAAGTTGTTGTCCCCCCCACAACCGCAGCCCTGTCTTCCTGTTGCTCAACCAGGCTTCCTTGCCTGTTTTTCTAAAGCCACAGAAGGACATGTCCTATTTCATTATAGTACAACAAAGGGAACATTTGGAGGGGGGGCATGGTTTTTATCACTGGGTCTGTTTTCTAATCTGAAAAGAAGACCGTAATGATTTAGGTGGTAATGAGAAGTTACTGGTAAAGATGAGAGTACCTTCACTTAGCGACTCTTAAGCTGCTGGAAATAAGCTGCTTAAGAATTTCCTGTTGGCACAAGCCATTTTATAATAAGCCTGGGGTATTTTTTATTTATCTTACTTTTACATAGTAGAAGATTTAATCTCCTGGGTTGGAGGAATGCCAGAATATAATCCAGAAAACTTGTTCCAAACTGCTATAAAAATCCGTAAATATATTGCAGTGAATTTAGAAGCCTTTCTTTGTTTCACTAAAAGAAAAAAATCCATTTTGCTGTCAGTTTGTCAAACTGTCCATCTCAGCTAACCCAGTTCGACTTGTGGTTCCTTTTCCCTTTCGAGCAGCAAATCTTCCTGGGAAGGTTTGTTTCCCTGATGTGAATTCCATTCTCTTACAGGCTAAGTGTGTGTGGAAACACCCTCCTGGTGATGAGATATATCGCAAAGGTTCCATCTCTGTATTTGAAGTGGATGGCAAGAAAAACAAGGTAAAAATGGTGACATCAGAAAAAGGGATGGAAATGTTGTACTTTCACTAGTTTCAGAAGTTTATCTCCAGCTTGTAAAGAAGATAGAACTTTTCTATTGGTCAAAATACAGTTTCTGCTTCATTAACAATAATGGTATGATCTTTAATTTTAGGCCTTTATCTGATACGTATAAGAATCACTTGCTCACACATAAATGCTGTTTCTTTACTTCCAGATCTACTGCCAAAACCTGTGCCTGTTGGCCAAGCTTTTTCTGGACCACAAGACATTATATTATGATGTGGAACCCTTCCTGTTCTATGTTATGACAGAAGCAGACAGCACTGGTTGTCACCTGATTGGATATTTTTCCAAGGTCAGTGGGATCTGGAGATTAAGAAGCTGATGACCAGAGCAGGGTGGTTGATGTTGGCATATGAAGCCTCAGATCACTGACAGAAAGAGGCAGTTCCCTGGGCATTGATGATTGCCCTTAAAGGGTGGCAGGGGGTGGGGTGGACATCCACGTATCAAAGATTATTTAATGAAAATGTGCAGTCTTTATGAAAAGCTTTTGGTTTATTCATTTCTGGACTTGTGGGTTGAAGCTGCTCGTTAGTTGCTGGCCAGCACCCGGCCTACTAACCCACAAGTCCACATCTTGCCATCCAGGCCAGCCAACTCTCCTGGCTTTGCTCTCCTCTGTGTTATTAGCTTAAAACCAGGAAATATATTCCTTTTGCCTGGTTTTTTAGCTGGGCTTCTTCACTGATAACACCGCTACACCTTTAAAGATTCAGGGCCAGATTTTGCTTATAACTTTTCAATGTAGCAACTTTGTTGAAATATAATTTTCACATACCATACAATTCACTCATTTAAAGTGTATGATGTAGTGGGTTTTAGTATAGTCACAGAGTTGTGCAGCCACCACGCAGTCACCACTATCAGTTTTTGTTACTCCCAGTTTGAAACACCGTACCCGTAAGTAGTCACTCCTCATTTCCACTCATTCCGTTCCCAGGCCCACTGTCTCTATTTAAGCTTGTATATTCTGGACATTTCACATAAATGGAACATACAATATGTGATTCAAAGAGTGCTACTCTAGACTGGATTCAGTGTTCTAAACCTTCTTGCCTTGCTCTTTGCCTCTAAAAAAGAATCTAGGAGTCAGTACCCTCAAGGTGAGACTGGAGGTCTCAGCTAGGGAAACTCTGGGATCAGTAAAGGGTGTGGATGTACCAGCTATGAGGCCTGACAGCCACTCCCCAAGACTAATTAGCATATATTTGGCAAGCAGCCTTACTTGTATCTGGGACTGCTGAGACTCCTTTGGTCCCATATTCTTCCAATCTTCTCATCTGTTTGCTCTTGATTTTAGGAAAAGAATTCATTCCTCAACTACAATGTATCCTGTATCCTTACCATGCCTCAGTACATGAGACAGGGCTATGGCAAGATGCTCATTGATTTCAGTAAGTAAAACAGCCAAGTCATAAGTTGCACAAGCACGGACTATGTGAAGCATTGTTGTCTCTTTGTTCTATGGTCTGTCTTCACAATTTCTGGCATATAGTGGAATTACACTTATATTAAGTGAATGAGTAAGTGGAAAAAACCTGAACATTGTCAGTTGGCCTGATACACATTGAACACTCGGATGAATACAGGACCCTGAGTTGGCACCTAATAGTCTGAGATATAGAGGATAGTAAAGTAAGCTCTTCAGTATTATCCTAATGTGAGATTTATGAACAGCACATACATGCATAAAGCTTCAAATTTGTTTACGGGTGTTAGTTCAGTTTTGTAAGTTGTCCTCTAAAGGCATTCGTATACCTGATAGAGGCTTTGGGTCTCATTAATCATGAAAGCTGTATTTTGGAATTTGGCTACTCAGTAAAATTTATTTGTAACCCTAAAATCAAAGAACATGCACATGGCAGCGAAAAAAGTCACCACATGTTTCCAGATGAGGTCAGACAGATAACTTATTTTGGCTTTCTTTGTTTAAGCTGGTGTCCTTTAGAGCCATGTTGTTCATATTTTTATGCTTTTTGTTGCTGTTTTTATCTTTATTATTATTTTTTTGGCCATGCCACGCAACTTGTGGGCTTTTAATCCCCCTGACAGGATCAGACCCAGACCCTCAGCAGGGAAAGGGCGGACACCCTGCTGATTCTCAGCGCCCCCCGGGCACAGTGTTGAAGTGCTGTCTAGTACGGCCGCAATGTGCCTTCCAGAGAAAATGTGTTTTATAGACAGGTTTTATTCAGGCATTCGTGATTGTGCTGTTGGCTTTTAATTCAGTGTTAAATCAACAGTATGTATTGAATAGGTGTCTTTAAACAAAAACACATAAAACAAAGTTGGTTATATATTGATTGGTTGATGAAAATGTGACAAGGGACCCACAGGAACCTAACCCTGTATTTACCCCAAGAGCAGTGGTTCGATATAGCTTATTCAGTGTTTGCTGTGACTTTATAAAATATAATTACTGTAAATAATGAGATTCAGCTGTATTTTATTCCATGTTCACTGTAACATGATGTATTTTGGTCAAATTAGAATTCCTAGAATCAGCTTTTTGATCCTTTTTTTAAGCCACCCGTTAGAGATTAATCAGAAAATGACATAATCCACTCATGGAGTTGAGGGGATTGTGTATCTTTGAATAGGTAACAACTATTTTATAAACTTTGTGGAAATTTTCAGACATACACTAAAGTAGCATAATAGTATAATAAACCCCCCTGTAATGATCACCATTTTATGGCCAGTCTTGTTGTACCTATAGTCCCATACTCTGTTATTTTGGTATCTAAAAGTATAAGGTCTGTTATACCTAAAAAAGCCCTACAAAACAAAAAATTCCTTAATGTCATAAAATACACTATTCAAATTTTCATTATTTTGTGATTTGATTCTTAAAAAAAAAATGTTGTTTTTACTCAAATCCAGTTAGAACTGTGTAGCTTATAAATCAGTTTTTAGTTCAGAAGTTTCTGCTCCATCTCTTTTTTTTTTCTTTACTGTTTATTTGTTGAAGAAAACAAGTTGGTTATCCAGTAGTTTTAGTTTGCTGAAGTATGAGTTTGCTGACTGCATCCCCCTGGTGTTGAAAGTTAGATGTTTAGCTGTTAAAACTGGAGACTTTGTGAAATTCAGATCATGTCTATTCCCATCTGCTGTCCCCCACCAATATTTCATAGGCAGTACTGAGATAATCCATTCTTTAGGGTTACTTAAAAAAATTTTTTTTTAATTATTTTATTTTTGGCTGCACTGGGGCTTTGTTGCTTTGGCTGGGCTTTCTCTAGCTTCAGCGAGGGGTGGCTACTCTTCGGTGCGCTGTTCAGACTTCAGTTTCCACTGGCTTCTTTTATTACGAAGCACAGGCTCTAGGCTCTTGGGCTCAGTAGTTTTGGCTCTTGGGCTCTAGGGTGCAGGCTCATCAGTTCTGGTGCACAGGCTTGTAGAATCTTCCTGGACCTGGGATTGAACCCTTGTCCACTGCACAACCAGGCAAGTCCTGAGATAATCCATAAAGTGCAAAAATCTGAAAAAGCTTGAAAGCTATATAGTATAAGTTTCTAGTGCAGGCTTCCACTAAAAGGCTTTTATATTAAATGTCTAATGTTAAATGTTAAAACACATTTGTCCCCTTTTGTTTGTACAAAGTCAGTCAACTGTACTACAGCTAATATATGGCATTGCATTAAATAAATGAACCCCGATGGTTATTGCCAAGCAGACTCTACTCCTTAAATCTTTATCCATTTTGGTACGCTGTTCTTATTAGGATGAGATACAGTGTCTGCATTGTTCTCTGGCAGGTTATTTGCTTTCCAAAGTTGAAGAAAAAGTTGGCTCCCCAGAACGTCCACTCTCAGATCTGGGGCTCATAAGCTATCGCAGTTACTGGAAAGAAGTGCTTCTTCGTTACCTGCATAATTTCCAAGGCAAAGAGATTTCTATCAAAGGTTGGTTTTTTGCTCTTAAGAGAATGTTACCTATGATGTTTGCTCCTCTGAATATTCTGACTTTTCTCTCTGGCCCTGTTCATGTTTTGTAATCTGCAAAGATAATGCTGCATTCTGTGTTTCATCTGAATATGAGAGCAGAAGGCTCACTAACATGGACCACTCACTAAGGTGCCTAAGGATTCCAGAGCATTTGGCCCTAGGGACTGGTTATATGATTTGGTTTCTCAAATTTTAGGTTGCTAACACTTTAATTCACAAAATTCTCAACAAAAGCAAGAAAGAAGAACTTCAAGTCATTTGGTGCACACAGGAATTTCTAACATCCAGGAAATATTTATGCGAGAGTGAAATAATTTAGTTTGTTCTTTGATTTCAATTCCTATAGGAGCCAAAGTGGTTTCCTGCTGTACTGTCCCTCTTTTGTAGTTATTTTAAGTGGTCAAATGAATACTTTATAAACTTCTGGACGGCTTGGGTCAAGTAGCAAAGATTCCAAACATTTGGAGTCTGTGTAGATTTCCTTCAAAGGAGAGGGGTCCTTGGTAGGGGGGTGGGGAGGTCTGCATTTTGAGCAAGTAGCTCTTCTGTTTCAGAAATTAGCCAGGAGACAGCTGTGAATCCTGTGGACATTGTCAGCACTCTGCAAGCCCTTCAGATGCTCAAATACTGGAAAGGAAAACACCTAGTTTTGAAAAGACAGGTAAAGTTTCTGTTAGGCTCTTACGCATTGCTTTATATCTGCTTGAGGCCTAGCAAAGTGGAGCCTTCACAACTTAAAGGTAACCTTCCCTTTTTAAAGAGTCTAATTCGTGCAGCTTTTCCCCAGTCTCATGGTTAGGTTTGTCTCCAACTGTACCCTTATCAGAAGCTTCTGGTAAGCTTTTGTCTCATACCTGGATGACAGAAGCGTCAACAGCTCCAGTTAAGCAGCTTTATGTTGCACTGTTGTACTTCTGTCCTTTGATGATTTTCTTACATCAGAGAAGAGTGCCCATCTGTGGAGGAGAATCCCCATAACCTCCAGGGCCTGTAGAAGTGGTTTTAAATTCCTTTAACAAATGCTATCTCAACTCATGTCAATTTGATTTATTTTTTTTTTTAAGTTCTACCAGTTTATTGCTACCAACCCATCTCCCTCCACCCTCGTGCACACATGCTCAGTCATGTAACCCCATGGACTGCAGCCCGCCAGGCTCCTCTGTCCATGGACTTTCCCAGACAAGAATACTGGAGTGGGTTGCCATTTCCTTCTCCTGAAAATTTTTTTAAGTTGACTTACAACATTTACTCTGGAGGGGCCATGACAACCCACTCTAGTGTTCTTGCCTGGAAATGCCATGAACAGGGAAGGCTGGCAGGGTTGCACAGAGTCAGGCACGACTGAAGCGACTTGGCATGTATGCACAACATTTAATAAGGGAAGATGGGTAATGATTTTCAGGTCTTACTGAGGGCATAATAGGAAAAAATGGATAAGGTAGGAGAACATTAGGTAAATCAAAAGAACTTTTTTTATACCTGTCTCACACCTTAGTATACTATGGAACCTTTGGTGATTTCTTCTTTGCTAACAATCATTTTGGAATCCACATATAAAGATGTTTTAGTTGAATGCATATAATAATTTTTTCCCATTGTCTTCTCTCAGGATCTCATTGATGAGTGGATAGCCAAAGAGGCCAAAAGATCCAACTCCAATAAAACCATGGATCCAAGCTGTTTAAAATGGACCCCTCCCAAGGGCACTTAAAGTGACCGGTTACTCCGAGCCAGCGAACCCCAGCAGTAGGAATCCGTACCCTAGGGATCTGTCTGTCATTTCTGTTGCTCTTGTGATTGGCAAGTACAGTATCCTTTGGGAAGGCCATCCCCCTCAGGACTGTCCTGGCTCCGACCTTCGTGTACACTGCAGACGCTGGTTCTGAGGAACTGTTGTTTCGGCCTCAGTGAGGTTGCCTGGATGGGATCTCTATTAGACTTGAGTGCAGATCCCTTGTAGCACTGACCCAAGGTGTTCTGTTTTGGTACTGTACCTGTCCAGTCACTGGTTCTCTCCTCTGGCCCCATGAGGTTGTGTCTTGTCTTCTAAACTTTGTAATAGTGCTTCTTGCCACCTGGTCACCAGACCACCAACTACGGTTACTGCCACCAGGACCTTTTCAGTTATTCCTTACACGTGTTTTTGGAGGGGCAGGGAAGAGGTGACACTTCTGAGTGTGTGTTGGGAGGGGTCCCTTCCCTTTGGATTTCATCTCACTTTAAGTTATTTCCTCCATTTTTAGTAAAAGACCTGTTTTTGATCAGTATCAGGCTGACCAGAGCCAAATACTTCTGAAGATTCTCGCAGGGATTAGTCTTGGTTACAGCACATGATCTAAATGAGATGGAGAAAGGAATTTCGAGGTGGTGATTCTCTATTTGGATTTGAGTTCACCTGTGGGCAGTGGGCAACATCTTGGTGAAAGGGAATGAAATACTACTTTTTGCCTCACCAGAAAGTGCCCAATAGTAAATGTTTTCTTCTCTTTACTCCCTGCCTCTTTTTACTTTTGCAGGTGCCAAAATAATTTCCAGTTCTCCCTTTCATGCTGCATGATAACCGGTTAATTATATTGCAGAAACCTTTCACCAGTATCGGTCTGATATTGCACACCTAAGTTGCACATAAGTTGCATTGCTTTTGTCTGAACATCCTTGGAGAAGTGATTGAAAATGACTTCCGTATCTCAGCCCATGACTCAGCAAGGCAGAATGGCCACCCCTGCCAAGGTTTGCTTTTCTTTTCAACAGTGCCTCACCCTCCCTCTAAGGACTAAAGTGCTTATGCCCTTCCAAGAACTCCATTTCCTTTTTGGGATTTACCACCATCCCCCCCCATTCTCTGGTCTCCTCTATTTTTGGTGTCGTGTAAGTGAAGGAAGAGATGCTCCCTCTAATTTCTCTCTAGCCCATTATAACCTGCTATCTTGGGGCAGCTTTTGATGTATGACATGTCACCCTTCCCAACTTGGTCTCCTACAACACTGCTGTCTTCATGTGGAGCTCTCACCACAATCCCAACTCTGGTCATTTGTGCCTTTCTCTTGTTATCTTTGTACACTACTTATATTCACTGTGGGTTGGGGGGAGCTAACTTTAAGCATGTTCAGTGGCAGCTCCCTGCCAGTTTCAGTGTCACTGTTAAAATTTACCCAAAAGCAATTTCACTGGGGGTTTTCTTAAGGGGTAAAGGCCTTTTACAGAAGCTAACCCTTCCCCAAATGTGGTAGAATGTGCTGTTCTATATCTACTCTTCAATAAAGCATGTTCTCTGCTGAAATTTGTTTCCCCAGGATCTCTCATTTGAGTATGAAATGGTGTCGCTGGCCTGCTGCTAATAAGAAATGCCCTTGGGGTTTATTTTCCTAGCAGTAAACAGACTGCTCAGGGACATGATTTGTGGGTGGGGAAAGTTGTTTTTTCCTCTGATGCAGGCTATCTGGAGGGAGTGCTTACTCTGAGTTTGTCTAGTTGATGGAGTAAATTCTCTGTGCCACACTCTGGTTCCAGCTAACAGATATGCATAGCTGTGAGTAGTTTGTGTTATCCATTCGAGGGCCCAGCTGGAGGTAAGGCTAGGTGGGATAGCTGTGGGAGGTGGAAAGAGACGTGTCCAGGCTTGCTTGCCAGTAGTGAGCAGTGCCATCTCTAATCACTGTCTCTCTCAGGTTGAGGTGATTTCTGAAAGTAGCTGTGCTTTCCTGTAGCATTTACCTAGTGTGAGAAATGGGAGACCGGGCACTTAACTGGATGGTGGAGCAGAGGGGGGTGGAAATTGTATTTGTTGGAGTGGTTTTACCCCCTGTGGCCAGCATGGTGAGAACCTCTCCTGGCAGAAAAACTAAGTGTCTTCCTTGGTAAGGTTAGAGTCCTGCGTGTCACCTACTAGGGTGGGAAATGGGATGAGAGAAACTCAGGCTTATAAAAAGACCATTCTTACACACATCTTAGAGAAATGTGTGCCCTGATTTCCTTCTTCTAGGTGTTTGCATCAAAGGGAAATTCTGTTGTCTCTCCCATTTTGGAAAAATTGAGGAAGGTAATATGGACTATGATAGTGGATAGATAGTGCAGATCACAAGTCTTTGGTGATTGCCGTTCCTCTTTCCTCACCTAGAAATCAAAGGAAGATTTCTCTGCTTTAAATCCTTACAGGTGTGGGAACTGACCATTTACTTCCTTGGCTGTTTTGAGTCAGACTGTTCCTGTGGCTCCTTTTGTACCTGCACAAAAAAAGTTTAGCTTCGTAGGCTCCTTTGTTAGAAGAGCAAAAGTCTGGAATCATTCCTACATCTAGCTGAGACTCCATAAGTGGAAGCACCAACCATTTCTAGAGGAGGAAAGCCCCAGCATGTGCTGGTTGCTTCCTTTCTGCTTAGCGCTGTGCTGGGTACTGTAACACTGCCTTGTTTGACCCTCCCCTCTGCATTTGCTTTCTTGGCTTTTTTGATTCCCTAATGATTTACCTTCTCCCTTCTAGTTCGTTTTCTTTGCTTCAGCCACAGTCCCCCATGCTTCTAGTGGCTTCCATTGCCAGAGAAATGACAAGACTGGTGAAAACTTTAAGATGAAAGAATTGAGTTTAGTTACTCCTGTAGGCTGCATTTGTAGGTCAGGGACCTAAACCAGGATACAGAGATGTGCCTCATTCTGGTTCTACTTCTGATTTAGGAATAAACTGTTTAGTAAGCACTGTCCCTTTACTTTTGTGGTTTCCTTCAGTCCTTACCACATCATCACTGGAAGGTAAATATTGTAGCCCTCTTCCACAGGAGAAAATTTGAGACTCAGAAGTCTTACTGCTAGGTTATAGAAACAGAATGAGAGCTTTGCTTCTCTTGAGTCCAGATCCCATGCTTCTGACAAAACTACTGTGAGTAATCTGATGCCTTGGTGCCTGCTTTCCCATTTCTCACAAAGGGGAACAATGAGTCACATTAAGTAGTTTTTAAGAATATGGTGTGCCCTTTATATGGCAAGATGATTCTCTGGACATGACCTGAGCTTTGGTTTATCCCTGTGGTTCGGGCGGGTTGCCTGACTGGCGTTAGGAATGGCCTCTCATGGAGTTCATGTGAAGCCAGTATAAAAAAATACCACAGCTTGCTTCCATCATGCATTCCTTCTGGAATATGAAATAAGTGAAAAGCAGTTTTTTGGAAGTTTATTAGTAACTAGGCATAAACATGTCTGTCTTTTCCTCCTTTGAAGAGCAGTTGATATGCCAAGCATTGAAGTCAGAGCATGGTTTTTATGATCCCAGGTACTGGGATCAAGCATTATTGCTCTCCGTGGTGATCCTTACCCATTTTACTTTAACTTCTGACCCTTTGAGAATCTAATAAAAGTATTGGGTCTTATAAAAGAAAAATATACAGAAGTACAAATATGCACACATGTCAGTACAGGAGATTGAGGGTTTGAGAAATCTCCAGTGAAAAGGCAGATGGGAGCCCCACCTGCCTGCCTTCACTCATCCCTTGGCTTATGCATGGTTTTTGCAGGTCCCATTAAGTGAGGTCCAGTGACGACCAAAGAGAAGGTTACTGACGGTTAACATCCTGCCTGCTCATGGTTTCACAGATACACTCGTATATACAGTGCTGTATAGGGTTTTGCATATTCAGAGAATAAGGTGAAACTTTGCTAAATGTAAAACTACTAAAAACTACTTTTTGCTATTCATTGGGATCATGTAGTTCGACCACTGGTTTTACTCCAGCACTTTCTGCTACAAACTTGTATGACTGCATCTCCCAGACTGTCTCCTGCTGATGAGGGCAGTTTAATTGCCCACTTCCTTTGTGGTATCTTCAACAGAATGCCAATGAATGTCACTAAGAAGGGAGTAAAAAAGGACTGCCTAGTGAAAAATGTCCCTTGTGCTGAAATACCAGTTTGTCTCTTCTGTCTTATGTGATACCTGTAGATGTTACACCATTCTGGGGCTTGGGGTTTGTTGATTTGTGCCCAAGAGTGGAGAAAATTACCTGTGTTGTTGCACAGCTCTGGCTCTGATGCTCCCTCCGGATGCTCTGTGTGAGAACATCTTTACCCTGGACAAGTCATGTCCATTCACGAAACCAGTGTTTCTTAACTCGGTACATGTTTTGGAAACCTCTCACGTTTTATTCAATCATATGCAAAGTTTTTAGAAACCTATACCCTTATCTCAAAAAGAAGGTGTGGTAGATCATCTCCAGAAATGGTCACCAACAATCCCATCTCTGTATATGAGTGCTGCTCATTCCAAAAAGAGCTAATTTTCCTTCAGGGTGTGGGCTGGACTTTTTACTAATCAAAGGTGCCAGAAGTGATACTCTAGCTGTTTCTACTTTTGCTGTTGGAAACCTGACATATTTTCAGACCAGAAGCTTAAGTGTCAAAAATCCAGACCCTGTACTCAGGCTGGATGCAGCTTCAGAATGACCCCTGCTGACCTCCTGAAACTAAAGAATGATCCAGCTGAAGATTGCAAACCTAGAGAATCATGAGAAGTACTGTTTTATTTTTTTGGCCACGCTGAGTGGCATATGGGATCTTAGTTCTCTGACTAGGAATCAAACTCATGACCCCTACAGTAGATGTGCACAGTCTTAACAATTGGACTGCCAAGGAAGTCCCTGGAAGTATTTTAAACCATTGACTGTTTTGGGATGGTTAGGCATACAGATACATAGCAGTGGGTAAGTGAAAAAAGGACTTGAGATTAAAGGACCTGACCTTTTGAGAATCTAATAAAAGTATTGGGTTTTTTTTTTGAAAGAAAAATGTACATAAATGCAGATGTGCACACATTTGTATACGGTTCAGGAAACAGACTTTGAAGTCATTTCTGAACTTGGGTTAATAAATAAACTGGTTTGAGAAAGCTCCAGTGAAAAGGCAGGAACCTCACCTGCCTGCCTTCACAGTTGGGCTTTGTAGATTTATTTTGGTAAATGATTGCCTGTGATTGGAAACCAGATGTGCCCAGAGGAGGACCTCCACCTTGTGTAACTCCAGGGGAGCACTATTCACGCAGTGGCACCCACAGACCCAGTTTAACCCTGGTTGATATCTCGGCTTCCAGTCAAATTGCCTCTCAGGTCTTTGCCTAGCCTTAGAATTCTTAGTCACTACCTTACAGAAGTAGATCAGGAAAGGTGAATATCCTGCTATTAGGAAAGAGCTCTCCAGTTCACCCGGAGTTCATGTGGCTTCCCATTCTTGGATTAAGTTCCCATTTATCTTGGCTTTCAAGTTTCCATAAGTGGACTCCACCTGGGTAGTTTTCATCATTCTCCTACACAGCCTCCACATGCAGCTGGATTAGTCTCTTCCTGTTTTCATTTGGGAAACCTCCATGTCAGCATTCCCCCAAGTGAAGTATTACAGGTAAAATGGGTACTGTAGTCAAACTTGGAAAACATAGTTGAAGTTGCATATTGATGTTTCTTGAGTTCAGGGCGTCTCAGAACCTCTTGAGATTTTCCAAGAAGGAGACAGAATGTAACGTTTCCTAAAATGGTCTGGAAGGATTCTCTGGAGACCAGTATGCTGTGGGGCAGACATTTAGTTGTTTCTTTAGTACTTACTGAAATGGCCCAACTAAGAATTCCTTGTGAAGACTTATTTTTCTGCCAGAGACATGTCTGTAATTGTGGCGGAGACCCAAGTCATTGTAGGGGTCAAATGTGCTTGGAATGAAGGACCCTTCCCTCAATCCTGGCTCTGGGATTTCTGGTGCAGATTGAGGATCGTACTTGTGGAGGTAATTTGTCTTAATATATTCAGTCATTCATTTGTACACAAAAGATTCTAGAACTTGGTCTCCTGGAGCAGATCAGCATTATATTCCTAATTGTGATCAGTGCCCTGAAGGACAAAGGACAGGTGTTGGGTAAGCATAACTGGAGAGAACTAGCTGAGCTTGGTTATCCAGGAAGCCCAGAGTGAGAAGGGAGCTTGCTTTATCCTGGGACCTGACATGACTGGGTTAGCCAAGTGGGTGGGGAGGCGAGGCATGGGCAGCGTTCCCAGAGGGAGAGCCTGAACGCAGATCACAAAAGCTTGTGAGCCTCTGGTGTGCCCAAGGGTCTGAGAGAATGTCTGGTAATGGCTGAGGGGGTGGAGGAGACGATCAGGGAGCACAGGGTCTTAAAGGCCCCAAGAAGAATGTCAGGTTGACCTAGGAAACTGAACTGTGGCCAGTAGGGGATGGACGGGTCCACCATGTTAAAAGGTCCTGCTCTGGATGGAGAACAGCTAAGGTGGGAAGCACGGATGCCTCTTCAGGAGGCTGCTGCCCCCTAGGCAAAGGAAGATAGTACCTCCTGTGAATAAGCGTAGTGAGAGCAGCAAGAAGATGAATTTAGGTATATTTGGAAGAACCACCAACTAGGGGGGAGGTGTTTAGACGGGGCAGTGAGGGATGGGGAGCCGCTTGCAGGTTTCTAGCCCACAGCAGGGTGTGTGGCAGTGCCGACCATGGGGCTGCAGGTCAAGAGCTGAGCGTTTGAGGACCATGCATTCTATGTGAGTCCTTCGTGAAAACCCTCTCCAAGGACCTCTGAGCTCTATTGCTGGCACTGGGGTAAAGACAAATAAGCAGTCTGTGTACTTGATAAACCCTGTTGTTGAGATAAACTTAATTTTATATCAGATATGAGTGCTGTGGTGGAAGAATTTGCAAAGTGCTGTGGGAACTCTGTGGAGGGAGTGAATGAGTAGTTGCCGGGTTGGGACCTCTGAGTAAGAATTCACCAGCATGGGAGGGGAATGGCATGTGCAGACACCAGCTTGAGGGGACGTGGTGGGTGTGAAAAGGGTTGTTGGAGAGGAAGGGCTCCCTTGAGTGAGTACATCTCCTTTGCCCTCTGTGGTCGGTAGTTCTTCAAGGACAAATTCCAGTCTCCCTCCCTGCTCCCAGTCCCACCTGAGGGCCCAGCATAGTGCCAGCCAAAGAGGAAACTTACTGAATGGTCAGTGGCTTCAGCCAAAGCTTGAATGTCTCCAACTTCAAACATGGCGCTAAAATCTTCAGTCCTCTCTTCTGCTTCTTCACGTTGAGTTGTCACTGAACCACCTCCCAGGACCACAGCTGGGCCAGGACTGGTCCCCCGTCACCTCCCTGAGATGTGGCCTTTCTCCTTACACTAGAGCTCTTCAAATGACCAGCTGCCTCTGACCCCAAAGCAGAGTGGTCAGTTGAGGGGCCACTTCAACTGAGATGAGAATTGATGAAGGACCTGGGCCCCCATTCTCCAAGTCCAAAGACACATGAATTTGGGTCCTTGAGGTTATGATGGTGGGTAGGCAAGGGCTACCTGTGTCCCAAGCCTGTTTTCCCACCTCAGTGGGGACCAGGGTTATGCATTTCCCTTTACAACTCTGGAAGAGGTCTCTTGGCTGCTGACATGCCAGGCCCCTGGGCAGGGTGTTGAGCCCAGGCCACCCCTGTCCTCTGCCCTGCACCAGAGAAGAAATCATTCGCTCTTCATTGGTTTATTGAACCCTTGCTGTGTTATGGGCACAGGATTTAGAGAAACGGGGGTAGGAAGTCTCGGTCCATCCAGTGAGGTCCGGGTGTGTGTGGGGTCATTAGCTAGCTTACAGTGGTGACAACAGTGCATTTATGCACGGCCGCTGCTTGAGACCCAGAGTCCTGGGAGGAGCCCAGTGAGTTCAGTGTGGTGGGAGGGACACATGGTGAGCACAGAAGACACGCAGAAGAGGGCTGGCCTGGTCAGCTGGTTGGCTGCCACGTCCAGGTAAGGAGAAGGGTTTCGTCCTCTGGGAGGCGTGGGGTGGGGGCTCTCACTCTGACCCACGGTTCTCATCCTCTTTGCCTGGGAAGAGTGCTGCACATAAGCAGTGGTTAGGGGAGCCTTGTCTGCCTCCTCCATTCTTGGAGGCCTTCTCTGGTTATCCACTCAAGGCCTTCCATTTGCCCAATTCAGGTTTCTCCCGAATTGTTATTTAAGGCAATCAAATTCCAGGTTAATCTGGCAGAGCTTCCTTTTTCAATCATAAATGCCTCTAGAGAGTGGATGAGCCAACCCTCCCTAATCTTCTCTAAAGAAAGGGGGTGGTAATCCAGCACTTAAAATTCCACTGGCCCTCTGAGGGCCCCATGAAGTGCCTGGACTCTGGGGAGCAGGAGACTGTTTAGTCCTGGCTCTGTTACCAGTTCACCGTATGACTTTGGGCAAATTGTTTCCATCCCCGAAAAATGATTATTTCTGAGGTTCCTGCCAATGCTTTGCATGGAGGGATGTGCATTTCCATGTTGGCACTGGGGTGACCTCCATGGCCCTTTGAATGAAATGGCTCAAACACTTAGGAAAAACTCTTGGGGGAATATAGAGAACTTTCCCACCTTGATTCCCAAGAGCCTCTGTTGGAAGGAGCAGGTATTCTATCTGGGAAGCTAGAGAGGGGCCCACAGGTCTGCAGCTCTAGGGGGAGAGGTCAGGATTAAGAAAGCAGACTGGAGCTTGGTGTCTTTTAATCAGCTATGTCACCCCCTGCCCTTCCTCTTGAGCTTGCTAGCTTGAGCTATGAATCTTTCCCTAGCCTGAGTGACTTATCTACTGATTCATTTACCTTCTTGTTTATTTATTGAGCACCCCCTTTGAATGCCTTTGTGGTTGTGGCCCAGGCCAGAAGGCGGCAGCTGGTAACCCCTCCCAGAGTGATATTGCCTTTATTTAGGTTGTTGAAGACAGAAAATACCTTAAGACTCTCTAACAATTGGGGAATAAGGGGAATGTTCCAGGGTCTGGAGAACCACACACCATTCTCTGTGGCTTCAGCTGGCCCTGAGAGTGGGGAGCAGAATGTTCCTGTGTGTGCTGGTGGAGAAGCTATCACCTACCTTCTGTAGTTGCTCCTCCTTGCCCCTGGACCACTGGTTCCCCCTGATACCCTGGTGATGAGAGGAGACAGAGAAGAAAAAGAGAAAGTGAAGCAGAGGAAGACTGTCTTGGGAACCAAGAAAGACAGGGCCAGAACTGGGGACTCATGAATAGAGTAATTTCTCTAGGAACTGTGGTTCTTCATTCACTGATTCATTCATTGATTCCTTCCTCTTTCTCTTCCATTTTCCCTCCCTTCTGCCCTTCCTTCCACAAATACCTCATGAGCGCCTCTAATAGAAACTGCGGAGACAGAGGAGACGGCAGACTTTCACCTGCCCGTGGGGTGGTTTTTACTCTGGGGACATCAGCCATGTGACCCAGCAGAACAGTGCAGGACAGTGTGAAGTAGGGCGCCATGCCTAGGCCATGAAGACAGGCTCTGGGTAGGGCAGGCGGGCAGGGAAAGAGAGGTAGAGCTAGGAGTCCCCTCAGTGAGGGTGGCCGGGAAGGTGTGTGTGTCTTGCTCTTGGGAGCACTGAAGGGGGTGGTGGGTAAAGGCTGGTTTGTATTGATTTCGATTTTCCCTTTTCACTGAAGGATTTTAGACAGGGTTAGGGTTTTCAGTTTTAAGGTCCTTCTGGATTGATGAGTTTCTTCAATTCGGCTTTAGACCCACGGTAATTTTGAACCTTTGGCAGAACTGGATTCATCGCCACCTTCTCCTCATCCTTGCAGGTGCTCCCTAGGGACGCATAGACCACCTCTCTAAGGAAACAGCCAGGAAGCCTAGCATGCAGCCAAACCACTCCGGCCCCACCCTCGACAATGCCCACCCTGGCCAGAGCGTCTCTCCCACCTCCTTGACAACTTGGTCTTCCCCAGGGAGCACGTAGGGGAAGGTGTGGACAACACTTACCTGTTCCCTCTGACTGGATGGGAGGTGTTCCTGGGGGAAAGAGAAGAAATGAGGGTTGCCCTGCTTCCCTGGGGGTCCAATGAGATGAAATGGCTCATGGTTCTTCGGGATCCACGCCTTTGGTGGGTGTCTGGGGGCTCTGGTCACCCCCTGTTGTCCTGGTGTGACTGAGCCCCACAAGGTACACTCTGGGTAGGAGGCAGTTTAGGGTAGTGGGAAGTGTGCGTACTGTGGAGTCTTTGCCTTGTGCGAGTCGGGCATCCTTGGGTAAGTATTTAGCCTATGTGAACCTTAGTTTCCCTGCTGGTGATAAAGGGGATATTATGAGTTTTTTTTTTTTTTTTTTGGTATTATGAGATTTAATCACAAGTGAGCACGGTGTTCAGTAAATATTTCCCGTATACCCCCACCTCCTGCTTCCTGGGTTTCTGGATTTGGAAGAGACCTCTGAAATGGCCCAGGCCAAAACTCATTTTGTAAAAGAAACTGAGGCCAAAGTTTGGTCACAAGTTAATTTTCTCTATTTTATCTCATGGTGCATGTACCAGGAAGATTTTCTCTTATTTTTATATATATATTTTAAAATTACAAAAGCAGTTTCTGAATAACTGCCCACTATGAAATGGTAAGGTAGAGGTTAGTGTAGTAAAAGTCTCCCTTAACTTTTGCTCTCCCTCACCTTCGCTTCCTATCCTAGATGTAAAACACTGGTGACAGTTTGATATTTATCCTTCTGGAACTCTCCCTATGTTTTCAGGTGTGTGTGTGTGTGTGTGTGTGTGTGTGTAAGTATGCAGTGATTTTTTTTAAACATTTAGGCTCCTATCTTACGTATTGTTATATAACTTGCTTTTTCTACTTAGCCAGTATCTTGGAAATCTTTCTCCATCTTTCCACAGATCTGCCTCATCCATTTCAATGGCCACAAAGGCCATGGATGTGCCAACTTCCCTGGTGGTCCAGTGGTTAAGAATTTACCTTCCAATCCAGGGGACTCAGGGTTGATCCCTGGTTGGGGAACTAAGATCCCACATGATACAGGGTAACTAACTAGGCCCATGCTACAACTAGCGAAGTCCAAGTGCTGCCAGCAAGACTCAGCACAGGCGAAAAAAAGGCCATGGATGTGTCTAATATATTTTGATTATCCCCCCATTGATAATTTTTAGGTTATTTTCACATTCTTGCTACTTGGCACAAATACCTCAGGGCTTATGTAGCAATGGCATTTCTATTTGATGGATTTCCTGAAGCAAACCTATCAGTCAGAAGGTATGCATGTTGCCAACTTTGATGGATATTGCCAACATGTCCTCCAAATGGACAGTGTATTAAAGTGTATGGAAGTGCCAGTGCTTTCATATCTTCACCAAAACCACTTTTAAAAATTTAGTTGTCAATAAGAAAACTGCTCTCTGTTCAGGCTTTTTTAATCTTTGTCCTCCCAGGATACAGATTTCACATCGAGAGTGCCCTCAGGGAACATAGATCCATTTTAATAATTCTACTTGAACCAAACAGAATCTCATAGAAAGCTTAGTCTTAGGCTTTACTCACATCAGAGGCAGATCTCAAGTTCCACCACCTCTCCATAGTCCTCCACAGTATCGCAGGAGGGGCACCAGCAGGGTGCAAAATATTTGTCCCCACCCGTAGAGTCGCTGCACTCCCCAGATGCTGGGGTGGTTTGTACCTGTTGCTTGGCATAACTAACACTCTCTGAAATGTCCTGATTTGGATAACAATTGATATGGACACTGTATCTCATTCCATGGCATGAGCGACCCCTACTGGACTGGGGTAAGGGATGCTGAGTCCTGGGCTTTAAGTTAGGGCCTCCATTTGGGGTCAGAACCCACCCAGAAGCCTTCCTCCCTGGACATCCGCCCACATCTGTCACTCACCTCCTACCTGCTTCCCCATTAGCCCAAAGAACTGGCTCGCTTTGCCCTTCTTCACCTCTCGGAGCTGAAGTAGGATGCTGGGGATGACATCTTCCTGAAGAAGCAGAGAGTTCCTTAGAGTTCAGGGGAGGCTGACAACAAGACAGTCTCAACAATAGCAATCTCAATGACCCATGCTCTGTGCTGGCATTGATCTCACATTTTATACAATACTGTAAATAATAATAATAACAGCAGTAATAAATGGCTAACGTTAAAGTGTTCCTAAGCACTTTCATATATTAACTCAATCCTTACCAAAACCACATAAAGAAAGTACTATTTGGGTCTCCATTTTACAAATGGAAACTAAGGCTCAGAGTGATCACCAGTCAGGATGTGAGATGAAGCCAGACTCGAACCCAGGTCCTCTAACTCAAAAGCTCAGACACTCCAGGCGTAATCTCATTCACGCTTCACAACCACCATGTTAATTATCCATTTACAGATGGGGACACAGGTTTGTGGAGATTAGGTGACTTGTCCAAGTTCATACAGGAAGTGACAGTCAGAATCCAAGCTCAGTCTGACTCGACTCCTGCTCTTCTCTCTTCCTCTGGCACTCCCCTCATTGTCCTGGATTTAACCTGGGCCTCTCATGGCATGTGGCCCGGGGCGGAGGCCACTCCCTCAGGCAAAGACATTTTCATCCTTGAGCTGGTGGGGTGAAAGTTCTGGACCAAGGACTATAGATTTAAGTTCTCATTTCTCCATTAACCTTTGTGACGTTGGCCAAAGGCCTCTCCTTCCCTGGCTTTTACTGGAGCCTCTGATGAAGAGCCTGCTTGGCTCTGCTGAGACAGAGAGATGATTGCTAGTGGAGAGAGTGATAGTGGGTGACAGTCATTAGACCATCTCCATGTCTTTGTATCCCCAATACCTGGCATAGTGCCTGGTACACACAGCAGCTCAGCATGTATGGGATGCAGGATGGCGAACGAAAGGCCCTTTCTCTGATAGTCTGGGAATAGGGAAGAGGATGGGGTCTGTTTTTCCAGGAAGGGTGGGACAGGTGACCAGAGCCCTAGAGTAACACAAGCTGCCTGCCTGGAGGCTGGCAGCTGGGGTTGGGTCATGGGCTCGTCCATTCCCAGTTTCCCCAGGGGCAGCACTGAAGCTTCAGGGACAAGAGGGGACCTGGTTGGGGTGCAGTGGAAACCGCCTTGGCTCTCCCAGCTTATCCCAACTTCTGGGATCAGAACTGGATTGTTTTCTAAGCCTTGGACTAATTCAGTCACTTTCAGTCTGTCTCTTCTCCACGACATCAATGGCTGGGGCAGCTGTCTCAGGCTGGAGTCATCTAGCCTGGCCAGGAACCGGAAAAGTGTCTTTGGGGATTTGGACCTATTTCTGAAAAGCTTATGAAAAGCACTTTGGCTTGGTAAAAGGCAGTCTTCAAATGCAAGCTGGACAGAATGTTTTTTTTCTCCCTCCCCTCAGGTTTCTGGGGCCCTTTAGGAGGCTTTTTTTACTTAGGAAGGACTCTTGCCCAGACCAGAAGCTCTTCTTACCCCTTTAACTCAAATCCCCAGCTCCAGGCTGCAGCCCGGGAGTCCTGAGAGCAAGGGAGAAAATCAGATCATCCCTAACAGAGGCATCATTCCTCATTCAGATGAGGTGGTTCCTATATCCCAAATTCTGTGTCTTGGGAAGCAGAGGGATGTTAAACGAGAGTGAGCCAAGAAGAAGCATCAGATGCAGGTGCAGCGTGGAAAGTCCCACGAGGCACTGGTTGAAATCGATGATGTTTCCCATGTAACTGTGTAGAGTGGTCCCTATTACACAGCTTCCCAGCTCCTGGGCCATGTCCCCTGATGTTTGGCACAGACTCCATGTCAGAGCTGGAAAAAAAACATTGGGGGCCATCTTCCCCGCCCCCCACCTCCCATTTTACAAGTGAGGAAACTGATGTCCCCGCGTCACACAGAGTCAGTGGAGAAGCTGAGACTTGAAGCTTCATCTCCTTAGCCTGCTGTCTTCTCAACGGCACACACTTCCACGTTCAGACAAACCAGGAAGGAAGCCCATCAGGAGGAAGGCCACCAGGCATGGCTGTATACTTGATGGCTCATCCTGCAGCCCCAGTGTCCTCACCGTCCCCGGACTAGGGGGAGCAGGCCCAGCCCTGTCCCATCTGCCCTCCTGGAGGCTTTCCCTGAGCACTTTGCCTGTGTATCTCTAGTCCACTGGCCTCATCCCCATGTCTGATGGGACCCTCCGAGGTCAGGATCTCTGCCTCTCTGATCAGATGGGGTGGGGCACAGACGCTGTGTCTCTAGCTGTGAGATTTCTTCCCATTGACAGCACTCAGGTCAGCTTAGTAGGAGAGGCTGGTAATCAAACCATTTCTTATCAGGGAATAAGTTTCTACATGTGAGACAAAACAGTGATCCCACTCCAAGTTGACCCCCTTGAAAGGACGTGCTGGACAATGTCTCCGAGACACAGATATACAGAGTAAGACATTGGGCAAGGTGTAATATTGGACAAGCGGCTTGACCTTTCTATGCTTCAGTTTCCCTATCTGTGATATGGGGGTAGAATGGTGCCTTTCCCACAAGGTGGATATGAGGATTAAATGGGTTAATATTCATGAGGCCTTTAGGACAGTGTCAGGAACATGTATATGTTAAATAAGTTTGTTAAATGAAGCTTGAACACAGATACTGTTCACACACACACACATAATGTTCACACACACACACACTGTTAATTCCATACGCCACTGGGCCATTCAGGTATGACATAAATCAAATCCCTTACAATTATACAGGTGAAGTGACAAATAGATTCAAGGGATTAGATCTGATCGAGTGCCTGAAGAACTATGGACAGAGGTTCACATTGTATAGGAGGTGGTGATCAAAACCATCCCCAAGAAAAAGAAATGCAAAAAAAAGAGGCAAAATAGCTGTCTGAGGAGGCCTTACAAATAGCTGAGAAAAGAAGAGAAACAAAAGGCAAAGGAGAAAAGGAAAGATATATCCATCTGAATGCAGAGACCAGAGAATAACAAGGAGAGATAAGAAAGCCTTCTTAAGTGATCAGTGCAAATAGAGGAAAACAATAGAATGGGAAAGACTAGACATCTCTTCAAGAAAATTAGAGATACCAAGGGAACATTTCACACAAAGATGGGCAAAATAAAGGTATGGACCTAACAGAAGAAGAAGATATTAGGAAGAGGTGGTAAGAATAAACAGAAGAACTATACAAAATAAATCTTAATGACCCGGTAACCATGATGGTGTGATCACTCACCTAGAGCCAGACATACTGCAATGCGAAGTCAAATGGGTCTTAGGAAGCATCACTATGAACAAAGCTAGTGGAGGTGATGGAATTCCAGCTGAGCTATTTCAAATCCTAAAAGATGATGCTGTGAAAGTGCTGCACTCAATTATGTCAGAAAATTTGGAAAATTCAGCAGTTGCCACAGGACTGGAAAAAGTTTTAGTTCCAACCCCAAGAAAGGCAATTCCAAAGAATGTTCAAATTACCGCACAATTACACTCATATCATAGGCTTGCAAAGTAATTCTCAAAATTCTCCAAGCTCGGCTTCAATAGTACATGAACCGAGAACTTCCAGATGTTTAAGCTGGATTTAGAAAAGGCAGAGGAATCAGAGATCAAATTGCCAACATCCATTGGATCATAGAAAAAGCAAGAGAATTCCAGAAAAGCATTTACTTCTGCTTCATTGACTACGCTAAAGCCTTTGACTGTGTGCATCACAACAAACTGGAAAATTCTTAAAGAGACTGGAAAAACAGACCACCTTATCTGCCTCCTGAGAAACCTGTATGCAGGTCAAGAAGCAACAGAACCGGATATGGAACAACGGACTGGTTCCAAATTGGGAAAGGAGAACGCCAAGGCTGCATATTGTCACCCTGCTTATTTAACTTATATGCAGAGTACATCATGGGAAATGCTGGACTGGATGAAGCACAAGCTGGAATCAAGATTGCAGGGAGAAATATCAATAACCTCAGATATGTGGATAACACCACTCTTATGGCAGAAAGCGAAGAGGGACTGAAGAGCCTCTTGAAGAAGGTGAAAGAGGAGAATGAAAAAGCTGGCTTAAAACTTAACATTCAAAAAACAAAGATTATGGCATCGGGTCCCATCCCTTCATGGCAAATAGATGAGGAAACAATGGAAACAGTGACAGACTTTATTTTCTTGGGCTCCAAAATCACTGCAGATGGTGACTGCAGCCATGAAATTAAAAGATGCTTGCTCCTTGGAAGAAAAGCTATAAAAAACTTAGCATATTAAAAAGCAGAGAGATTATTTTGCTGACAAAGTTCTGTCTAGTCAAAGCTATGGTTTTTCCAGTAATCATGTATGGATGTTAGAGTTGGACTATAGAGAAGGCTGAGCGCCAAAGAATTGATCCTTCTGAACTGTGGTGTTGGATAAGACTCTTGAGAGTCCCTTGGACAGCAAGGAGACCAAATCAGTCAATCCTAAAGGAAATCAGTCCTGAATATTCACTGGAAGGACTGATGCTGAAGCTGAAACTCCAATAATTTGACCACCTGATGTGAAGAACTGACTCACTGGAAAAAACCCTGATGCTGGGAAAGATTGAAGGTAGGAGGAGAAGGGGACACCAGAGGATGAGATGGTTGGATGGCATCACCGACTCAATGGACATGAGTTTGAGCAAGCTCTGGGAGATGGTGAAGGACAGGGAAGCCAGACACACTTCAGTCCATGGGGTCGTAAAGAGTCGGACAGGACTGAGCAACTGAACAACAACAAAATATGCTTGTATCTCTTTGGAGGTCTATCGGGCCAGAGACGACAGCCTTGAACATGCCCAGAGAGGGGAGGCAGACACCCTACCACGCAGTGTACAACCTGCTCTCTTGCTATTATGCCCTGCTCTCCCCAAAGGTACCTACCTCCAGGGTCACAGCCACCCAGGAGCCCACTTCAGCATCGACTGCCAGTTCCTTGTCACCTGCCACAGTGCATGCAGACAGCCCCAGGAGGAGAAGCAAGGTGACGCAGAGCAGCATCTTGGGACCCTAGGGGACCCCTCTCAGCCCAAAGACTGCCTCAAGCAGGCTTGGTCCTCTCTCTGGCTCCTCTTAGCAGGTGGGGGAAGCTCCACCTATTCTGTCCTTTCAGCTACTCAGCCTCTTCCTTCAGCTTATCTGATGCCCCAGGCCATTTCCTGTAACTCCTCACCCCACTTGCTGGAAAAGCCAGTGATATCATGAGCTGCCCAGAGAAGGGACCAGGCCTCCTCCACTGCCGCCCCCAGCAGCTGATCTTTGTTGCAACATCACCTTACCTTTGGCTGCGTTCCCCCGGGAGGCAGGTGCACAATGGGGCAGTGTGTAAGGCCTAGTGCTTTTGGCTTCCTGACTAGAAGCCCTGAGGGGGCCTTGGCATCTTGGAAATGGAGAGGGGGAACTGCCTGGCTTCTCCCTTCCCCTGTAGGAGAGGCCTCTCCCCAGTAGTATTCTAACACTAGTCTCCCTTTCCTGTCACTGCACCCCTTCCTTGGCATTCCCCGCCATGTCTTGCCCTAAGAGATCAGTTTAGTTCAGTTGCTCAGTCGTGTCTGACTCTTTGAGACTCCATGACTGCAGCATGCTAGGCTTCCCTATTCATCACCAACTCCCAGAGCTTGCTCAAATTCTTGTCCATCGAGTCAGTGATGCCATCCAACCATCTCATCCTCTGTTGTCCCCTTCTCCTCCTGCCTTCAATCTTTCCCAGCATCAGGGTTTTTTCCAGTGAGTCAGTTCTTCACATCAGGTGGTCAAATTATTGGAGCTTCAGCTTTAGCATCAGTCCTTCCAGTGAATATTCAGGACTGATTTCCTTTAGGATTGACTGATTTGGTCTCCTTGCTGTCCAAGGGGCTCTTAAGTGTCTTCTCCAACACCACATTTCAAAAGGATCAATTCTTTGGCGCTCAGCTTTCTTTATAGTCCAACTCTAACATCCATACATGATTACTGGTAAAACCATAGCTTTGACTAGACAGAACTTTGTTAGCAAAGTAATGTCTCTGTTTTTTAATATGCTAAGTTTTTTATAGCTTTTCTTCCAAGGAGCAAGCATCTTTTAATTTCATGGCTGTGGTCACCATCTGCAGTGATTTTGGAGCCCAAGAAAATAAAGTCTGTCACTGTTTCCATTGTATCCCCATCTATTTGCCATTAAATGATGGGACCCAATCTTTGCTTTTTGAATGTTGAGTTTTAAGCCAGCTTTTTCATTCTCCTCTTTCACATTCCTCAAGAGGCTCTTCAGTGTCTCTTCGCTTTCTGCTATAAGGGTGGTGTCATCTGCATATCTGAGGATATTGATATTTCTCCCTGCAATCTTGATTTCAGCTTATGCTTCATCCAGTCAGGCATTTCTCATGATGTACTCTGCATATAAGTCTTGCCCTAAGAGATAAGGCAAGACTTAAAAAAAAAATACAAGGAGGAATTGGGATTTGCCAGAAAAGTGGCATCCTGCTCAAATGTCATCAGCTCTAAAATATCTTCCCACTGCTGTAAAAGTGGTCTTTTCAAAGCCCTAACCTGACCCGTCTCTCCCGCCTTACAACCTTCCAGTGTCTCCCCGTTGCCCATGGTGTAAAGTTCAAGCTCCCTAGCATGGAATTCAGGGCCCTTCTCCACTTAGTCCATCTAACGGATATAGAACAAGGGCCCTGTGGTCAGAGAGCTGTGAATTCCATCCCCAGGGCCCTCACTAAATAGCTGTGTGACTTTAGGCATGTTACTTAGAATCCTCATCAGTAAAATGAGATTATTAATAGCATGTATTTCCAAAGTTGTTTGAGGATGAAATTAGATAATGCATGTGGAGCACTTAGCACAGTGCATGATGGTAAATATTTAATACCCATTAACATTATGGATGCTGGGTGAGGCACTGGGCGACAGAAGATGAATAAGGCACCGTCCCTGCCCAACAGCATCTCACAGCCTCTAGGAAAGGAGAACTCTGGTTGGCAGACAAGCTGAATTCAGTTTGCTTGTGCCAGCAAGAGGTGGGGGGGAGAGAAGGCTGTGCTCCATGCCCTCAGTCTGCCCATTTCCTGCCCGCAGACAGCTTCCCCACCTGCTCCCATACAGGACAAGATTCCCCACCCCTCCACGCTGTCCTTAGCTATTTCTCTGCCTGGACTTCCTTTTCCACGTGGTAAACTCCCACTTGTGAACGGTCTGCTTAATGGTCACCCCCAGTAGAGTTTTTCTCTTTCCTGACTCCAGCAAGAATTAACTGACCCCTCCCCTAGGCTTCCCCTATGTCTCCCACTCATCTCTCTCACAGCTCTGCACAGGACGTGGGCAGAGGCTGTGCAGGTTGTATCCTGCGCTGAGAAGGCTGCTGACTGGGGGAGTGCAGGCAGAACCTGGCCCTCGCTCTCTCATCGTGCAGTACAGCCTGGCATGAAGCTTAACCCCCTGCGCGAAGGTGTCTGGCTCCATTTCTCCCACAGGGTCAGTTGGGCTGAGGACAGCCCTGCCACGCTGCTCTATTATGCCATGAGCGCTCCGAGAGTGGGGCTGTGATATATGTGTGCTTGGCACACAGTGGGTCCTTAAGAAACATGCAGTCACTCCACTTCCAGGCCAGTGAAGGCAGAGATGTTATAAGGGCATGGAGGTTTGGGGAAGGACACACTACTTTCACTCCCTTTCAGGAATCTCCTTGGTGAATCCCAACCTGATAGTTTAGGGACCCCCCTGGTGGTCCAGTGGTTGAGAAGCCTACTTCCAATGCAGGGGACACTGGTTTGATCCCTGGTCAAGCAACTAAGATCCCATATGCTTTGGGGCAACTAAGCCTGCATCATGACTACTGAGTCTGCTGTCTAGAGCCCATGCTCCGCAACAAGAAAAGTCTGAGTGCCACAACTAGAGAAGCCAGCATATAGCAACAAAGAGTCCAGGCACCACAACGAAGACTCAGAGCAGCTAAAATGAAAACAACCCCCCGCCAAAACCCTGATGACTTCAGAATCCCTGCATTTGCTAAAATGCAGGTTCCCCAGCTCAGCCCCTTCTGACCTAGTAAACCCTAGTTTGTGAGTCTGAATCTACACAGCCCCCAGCTAACTTTTCCATGGACAGGGTACTTAATAACTTACAATCCACTTTGGTTTTCCAGTTTTGTTAACAAGTTTTTCCTTACAGAGATGAATGGTCCCTTCACTTTACAGATGTGGAAACTGACACTGGATTTCACAAGCCAGCAGGTTGGGCTTGCTCTAGGTTACACTGAGAATTATTGGTTGACTAGCATCCCAGGTCCCCAGTCAGCTGCTTCCCATTTTCCCGCAAGAGCAAGCAGTCCATGGCTGGAGGCAGAGTAACAGCATTCCCCTCTAGACAGGGGAGACGGCTTCCCATTCTGCAGGTTGAAACCCAGTGACCTTAGGACCCAAGGACTCTCTCTGAGCTTCAGTGTCTCCATCTGGAAATTGGAGCCAACCCTCATCTGTGGTGGTAAAGGTTTTATGAATGCCCACACTTAAAGAGCTCAGCACAGTGACTGGCACATAGTATGTGCTCAGTTAGTCCTAACTTAAGTTTTGTGATTATTCTACCTCTGGAACCCTGGACCTTAGCGCTGGTCTCCTGGCCCCAGTTTGACAGGGTGTGGTGGGGGCACAGCGGGGAGGGGGCAGGGGTCACGGGGCAGAGGACAGGGCGGCGGGAAGAAGGGAGAGAAAATCCCGAAGGTCCGGAAGGCCGGGAGGGAGGCCGGGCACCGGCTGAAACCGCGGCTATTTGCAGCTTTGCCCTCGGGCTGCGGTCAGGCTGGCGCTCTCGGCTCGGCTGCCGAGCCCGCCGCCCCGCCCGGTGCCCTCGGCCACCCGGGCACTTCCCTGGCCTGTGGGTCCCTCCTCGCCCGATCCTCGTGGCCCGGTGGGGGGTTGGGGAGCCGCTGCTGAGCCGGGACGAGGCCTCTGGAGCTGGCTGAGCGCGGGTCTGGGGCGGGGGCGGCGCCGGGGGCTGGCGGGCCGCGAGGTGAGTCGCGGCCGCGGCGAGGCTGCCCGGGCGCCGGGTGGGCGCGCACGATTGTTAAAGGCTGCGGTTTGGCTAAGATTGCGGAGCCGAGAGGAGAAAGGACGCAGGAGGGAGTACAGCTGGGGAGAGGGAAACACGAGCCGAGGGCGGGATGCGGGCAGGAAGCTGACGTTTCCTGAGCGCCGACTGCGTCCAAAGGAGGTGGAAAGACTGACCCCACTTTACAGGCCGGCTCGGGGAGGCTGGGTGCCTTGGACGAGGCCGTCCAGCTGTGAAGCCGCGGAGCCCCGAGCCTGATCGGCCTCTTGCCCTGCGGCTGAGAACGCAATCGCAAGCCGGGGCAGGGGCGGGGCGGGCCGGAGCGGGAAGGGGACAGGGGGCGCTGGCTCTCTGGGTTCCCCAGCCTCAGAGGACGCCACAGAGACCCTGCTTCAGTCTTTCCCGCGCCCTTCCAGCGCCCCCATGTGGAGGCTCCTTCTGAAGCCCAATCCACTCGCCCACTCCACCTCCGCGCGCGCGTTTCTAGAACTCGGCGTGGGCGGATCTGGAAGGGGCCAGAGCTGGGTCCTAGTCTCACGGCCTGCCCCTTGGATAGAAAGATGCGAGGAGAAAGAGAGACTGGGCCGCCAGAGGAGGCGAGCCTCCTTGGGATGCGCAGCGTGGTCGTTCCAGTGGAGGGGGCAGGGTGGTTCCTGGTACATGTATCCCTTAGTGTGGAACTGGGGCAATAGTCTTTGCACTCTGTGCTTGGACCCTTTCAACGGCAATGGCTTACTTTTACTGCGAATCTTTGAGATTACATTCATGCATTCATTCATTGATTCTGGATTTGATGAGACCTTACAACATGGGAGTTGCCACACAACACAGCTGAAAAACAAGACAAGCATTTTAACATTTTTAACAGTGTGGAAAGTGCCATGGCAGTGGTATCTGGGGGATAGAATAAAATCCTGGGCCCTCTTTACCCACATTTACAGTGTGGTTACAGTATGGGTACACTTCAGAATCCG